TTTTTTCCTTTTTCTCCCTAAAGTCCCCCTGGTACATAGTTGTATATTCTTCGTTGTGGGTCCTTCTAGTCGTGGCACGTGGGACGCTGCCTCAGCGTGGTTTGATGAGCAGTGCCATGTCCGTGCCCAAGATTCGAACCAACGAAACACTGGGCTGCCTGCAGCGGAGTGCGCGAAGTTAACCACTCGGCCGCGGGGCCAGCCCCCGATGTATCTTTATTATTATGACATGACCTTCTTTATCCTGGTTAGCTTTTCTCTGCAATCTACTTTGTCTGACATTAATATAGCCACTCCATCTTTCTTCTGATTTTATCTTTTTCCACCCTTTACTTTTAACTTGTGTCTTTATATTTAAAATGTATTTCTTATAGGCAGCATATAGTTGGGTCTTTCTTTTTTATCAAATCTGAGACTCTCTCTCTTAATTGCAGTGTTTAGAGCACGTACATTTAATGGGATTACTGACATGGCTGGAAATAAATCTATCACCTTGCTATTTGTTTTCTACGTATTTCAGCTGTTCTAAGTCCACAGTGACAGAGACCTCAACAGCACTCTCTCAGTAAGTGCCTGTACAAGTGGGCCAAGGATCAGGAAGGTGATTGCAGACTTGAACGTGTGTCCCTCTTTTTCTGCCTACTTTCAGTTAATTATCATTTTGATTCTCTTTTATCTCCTTTCTTGGTCTATTGGTTATAACTCCTTATATTGTTATTTTAGTGGTTACTCCAGGGTTTATAGTACATATCTTTAACTGACCATAGTCTACTTCAAGTGACCTACGCCACTTTCAATATAGTAAATTTACAATAATATTCTTGTCTCCCTTGTGCTATTATTGTATATTTTGGATCTACATGTTACAAACTTCACAGTACACTATTATTTCAGCTTTAAAAAGTCAATTATCTTTGTGAAAAATTTAAAAAATTTTATTGTGACAGCCACATGCAAAAGAATGAAAGTAGACCATTATCTTACACCACACACAAAAATTAATTCAAAATGGATCAAAGACTTGCAGGTAAGACCTGAAACTATAAAACTCTTAGAGGAAAACACAGGCAGCATGCTCTTTGACATCAGTCTCAGCAGTATCTTTTCCAATCCCATGACTACTCAGGCAAGGGAAACAAAAGAAAAAATAAACAAATGGGATGACATCAGATTAAAAAACTTCTGCACAGCAAAGGAAACCATCAACAAAATGAGAAGACAACCCACAAACTGGGAAAAAATATTTGCAAATCACATATCCAACAAGGGGTCAATTTCCAAAATATATAAAGAACTCATACAACTCAATAGCAAAAAAATGAACAACTCAATCAAAAAATGGGCAGAGGATATGAACAGACATTTTTCCAAAGAAGATATACAGATGATCAATAGGCACATGAAAAGATGTCCAACACCACTAATTATTACAGAAATGCAAATCAAAACTACAATGAGATATCACCTTACACCTGTCAGAATGGCTATAAATTAACAAGAGAAATAACAAGTGTTGGAGAGGATGTGGAGACAAGGGAACACTCATACACGGCTGGTGGGAATGCAAACTGGTGCAGCCACTATGGAAAACAGTATAGAGATTTCTCAAAAACTAAAAATAGAAATACCATACAACCCAGCTACCCCACTACTGGGTATTTATCCAAAGATCATGAAATCAACAATCAAAAGAGATTTATGAACCTCTATGTTCACTGCAGCATTTTTCCCAATAGCCAAGATGTGGAAGCAACCCAAGTGCCCATCAGCAAATGAATGGATAAAGATGTGGTATAAATACACAATGGAATACTACTCAGCCATAAAAAAGACAAAATCGTGCCATCTGTGAAAACATGGATGGACCTTGAGGGTATTATCCTAAGTGAAACAAGTCAGAGGGAGAAAGTCAAATACCATATGATTTCACTCATATGTGGAAGATAAACACACATAAGGAGAACAGACTAGTGGTTATCAGAGGAGAAAGGGGTAGGGGGAAGGCAAAAAAGGGAAAGGGGAACATATGTATGGTGACAGATAAAAACTAGACTATTGGTGAATACAGTGTAGTCCATCCTGAAATATAGTAATGTACATTTGAAATTTATACAATATTGTAAGCCAACATGACCTCAACAACAAAAACACTTTATTGTGGTAAGAACACATGAGATGTGCCCTCCTAAGTCTCTGCATATTCAGTGTTCACTACAGAAACAATGTGGTACAGCTGATCTCTAGAATTTACTCACCCTGCATGACTGGGACACGACGCCCACTGATCAGCAGCTCTCCATCCCCCCAGCCCCTGCAACCAGCTGTCCACGCTGATGCTACGAGTCTGACGGTTCTAGGCCTCTCCTCTGAGAGGAGGCATGCAGCACCTGTTTCCTGTGATGGTTTATTACTCAGTGTAATGTCTTCCAGGTTCATCCATGTTTTAAAAGTCAACTATCTTTTAAAGAGATTTTTTTTAAAAATAAGAAGAAACTCTTTATCCTCATTTTTATCATTTCTGGTCCTTTTGGCGACTTTGGGTGGACCCTCATTTCCGTCTGGCATCATTTCCTTATGCTTACAGGACCATGAGGTCTAGCAGTGCAGGTCTGCTGGTGACTAATTCTTCTATCTTTAAGCTTTGGTGTGTCTGAAGTTGTTTTTATTTCCTCTTCATTTTGAAAGTGTTTACTGGGCACAGAATTCTAGGTGAGCTTTTCCTTTCAGCACTTTAAAGATGCCCTTGTGCTGTCTTCCGCCTTGCGCCGTTTTCAATGAGAAGTCTGCTCTAGTTCTGATGTCTGAACCTCTGTATATAATGATACTTCCCCTGCTTTTCAGATTTGCTCATTTTTAGCACCTGGAATCTAGTTATAACTGCTTTAACATCTGTGTATGCTAATTCTACCACTGTGTTTATTGTCAGATCAGCTTCCATTGATTCAAATTTTTATCATGGGCTACATTTTTCAGTTCACTTCGTGATTAGATATCAGATGTTGTGAATTCACACACTGACGGGTGCTGGGCCCACTTGTGTTCCTGGAACTGCCTTTGACTTTGCTGTGGCTAACTGCTGCAGAGAGCTGGATACTTTCGAGGCTTGCTCTCTCGTCTTGTCCGTCTGGTGGGAGCAGCCTGCAGTCTAGGGCTACACTTGCCTCACTCCTCAGGCAACACCCTCTGAGGACTCCACCCCAGGACCTGTGAATTACGGTCTTCCTTCTCTGGCTGTGGGAACTCGGGATTCTTCCCTCTACTCGCTCCAGCATTTTTTCCCCCAGACTCGAGTCTTTTCCTTAAAAGCGAGCACCCATGAATCCTCAGCTGAAAACTCAAGGGGGGACCTGTGCAAACCCTGCAAACTCACACTCTGCCCTGCCCTCCTCACCAGTACCGCACCCTGTGCACTCCATATATCTTGCCCTTGTACTGCCAGGTGCCGTCTCCCCCACTCAGGAGACCACTGGGCTCCCCTCTTCTGCTCCCTGGTCTGGAAACTCTCTGAGGGCTATAAGCTGGGGCAATCACAGGGCACCTTATCTGTCTCCTCCCTCTCAGGAATCTCTGTCCTATGACATCTGATGCTCAATGTCGGGAGCTGCTGTCTCACGTGCCTTGTCTGGTTTTAGTTACTTAAAGGGGGAAGGTAAATCTGGTTCCTGTAATTCTATGTTGGTTGATGTGTGAAACGCCGTTATTTGAAACCTAGCTAATCCATAAAAAGATAATGTTCTGCATTTAAAAGTAATAAGATTCACTCCATCAGGAATGTGACCCCCCTCAACAGCCACATCTCCCTCACCGGGCACCATCAGTATCACAGACCCTCCCTGAGACTTAGGCAGTGGGATGGACCAGTAAATTGGGTGACACACAAAGTTCTGCAGATGACACTGCATCTGTCTCCAGTGAAGATCTCTTTCTACTTCGAGAACAAAACAGAGCTCAGATATGAAATACATAGATGATTTTAATGGAAATTTTCTGCTGTTTCCTTTACAGAATTTTCTGTGATTGTGAAGGCATTCTAAAACTGTCATTTTTGCATTTCTGAAGAGGGGCTATAAAATGGTAAAAGAGCTTCTAAATATTAGATATAATTAAAAAATTTGAATTATTGTAAATTTAAAACTTGCTCAAAAAACAAATTCCAACAGCACAGAATTATAGGTTACAAGCTCCAGCATGGCATGGAGGATTTTTCTTGTTACTGGAAACACAATGATAAGTAAAACCATTTCTATTTTACTTATGAAAACATATCGAGAGCCTACGACAATATGTGGCATATAATAGGCACTATGTTACTATTTATGGAGTGACTGGATTGTATAAGCAAAAAATAAAATACCTCTGCAACATTTGGAAAAATGACAAATGTTAACAATTTGCTGGGTGTATATCCTTCCGGACATTTTCTATGCTTATATTATCATATAAATGTGCCTGTGTGTCTGAAGCGGAACAATCGAACTTTACTGCTGCGCCACCGGGCCAGGCCCAAAAAAACAATTTTTTTATTTATTTTTTTTATTTTTTTCCTTTTTCTCCCCAAAGCCCCCCAGTACATAGTTGTATATTCTTCGTTGTGGGTCCTTCTAGTTGTGGCATGTGGGACGCTGCCTCAGCGTGGTTTGATGAGCAGTGCCATGTCCGCGCCCAGGATTCGAACCAACGAAACACTGGGCCGCCTGCAGCGGAGTGCGCGAAGTTAACTACTCGGCCATGGGGCCAGCCCCAAAACCATAATTTTTAAACCAAACTATAAGATCACACAAACAGATCCGTATCTTACTTTTCCCACTTTATATACTATAGCATCTTAGCCCTACAAATAATTGTATATAAACTTTACACTCAGTCCATTTTATGAATATTTTATTTTTATTTTAACTGTGATTTTGAGTTGCTTGTGATAAGACACTCCTCTAACCCTCTAGTCAATTGAGAGCTAATACGTTATCTACTTAAACATATCAAAGTCATCAAAGAAATACCTTGGTGGTAGACTGTCCATCAGTTTTGGTGTCTTGTGTGAGGTTCCAATTCCCAGTCACTTGGGGAGACTGTAAAATGATTTCTTCTGGAAACAACACTTTTAAAACAAGAAAAGGTAAGCATGTAGACATTACTAAAAACTTTAAAAAAAGAGGAATAGAGGAAACCTAACTGTGTGTAGCAATCCTCAAGAAATTCATGTCTACACATTCCTTTCCCTCTGGACCGTATACTGCTCCTCAGGTACAACACAATGCCAGTACTGCACACTCTTTGCAGCAAAGACATTTGTCTATTTGTAAATACAAAAATGAATTACATTAAAAAAGGCAGAGTGCAATGACTTTATTTTCAATAATTAAGCATGCTATTTTTACACAGTTGAAAGAGTAAGAAAACACTAAAACTCCCCAATAGAAAGAAATATATTGGATCTTACATAGTTTTACTTCTGGCATATGACTGAAGAAAATGCATTTTACGTAAAATTTTACATAAAATCTATAAAAATACCCTGTGAAGATGTAATGCTATAATTCCACAAAAATCATACCTTTCACACCTAAGCGGATGACTTGTTCAAGTGCAAAGTGACACCGTCTGCTTGTGGTCCTACCAGAAAGAAAACAACGTGAAATGACTCCCTTCAAGTTTAGAAATACAAAGGCTGGTACAAGGTCACAGAAACGTGGTCATGTTATCTCTGAGTCAACAAGCTAAGGTAAGCCTCACAGAACACCTATGAGGAGACCGTACTGGAGTCAGAGCTTCACAGCTCTCACAGGCAGCACCAGGAGGGCTAAAGGACTGCGGGTCACTCCACTGTCTGTGCCTACGCAACACATGAGAAAAATTTTATTTATGTATTTATTTTTTGCTGAGGAAGGTCTGCCCTGAGCTGACATCTGTGCCAGGCTTCCTCTGCTTTGTGTGGGTCTCCACCACAGTGTGGCTGCTCATGGGGGGTGCAGGTCCACGCCTGGGAACCAAACCTGGGTCACCAAAGTGGAGTGCGCTGAACTTAGCCATCGGGCCACAGCGTCGGCCTGATACAGAAAACTGTTCAATAGAAATATCCCACATATCAGGACAGCAGGGACTCCTTCCTTCCTGAGATTGTTTCTGTTTTAATGCATAAAGTGGACAAGTAGGAAACAAAAAGAAAACAAAGCCTATGAAGTGTTAGGGAAATATTAACACCACTGCATCAGGAGGAAAGTAATTTTGATTGTAAAGATTCGCTCCCTTGAAATTCACTGAAAACAACTGTTAGAAGATAAACTGAGGCATATTAAAAATTGTAAGCGTTTACAGTATTTGATCAAAAATCAATTTGAATTGGCAGCATGCCATCTAGCAGACAGAAAGAAGCTCAGTGAAAGGAGCTCAGCGAACTGTACAAAATGAAAGACTTTTACAGGCAGAAGGGAGCAGCAACAAGGAAGTTACACCAGACAAAATAGTGGGCTGGCGATTGCAAGGTTACTTCCTTAGGGGACGGCTGGGTCTATCAGGCAGGTTACCTGACTAGTGCTGACCAGGAGACTCCTGACTGACGAGTTAAAGACTCCATTTCTGGGAGAGCCAAAATTAATTAAGTCAAGTCTTGGTTTGGTGACATGGGGCTTAGCATAAGCGACTCCATTCTGGGCCTGCCCTCTTGTTTTTTAACACAACAAAAAAGAATAAAAAATGGAAAATAAAACTCCATCTTCAACGAGATAAGCTGACCAACGCTCCAAAGAATAAATGAAGAATAATGACTATTCAATAAAGACATCTGGCCTTAGCCACACAAAGGCATAAGAGCTGACTCACACCCTCTCAGAACTCAAGCCACATGCAGGTTTCTGGAAAATTCAGACTTGGGCACCTGAATGACCAAGTGACTGTTTCTCACCTGGATCACCAGGTGCAGGGCAGATACTCCGAGGTCACCTTCAGGACCCATTTCCACAGTGTGGAATCCTGGGGGGGGTGGGGTGTGAAGCCGGAAGCAATCAAGTGCACAAGCCCAACCCCCACAGAACCTCACCTGAGGGGTCCCTGGCACAGAGGCCCCTGGCAGCCCCACTTTGTCCCTCCAACATAATCTTCAACAAGGAGCTGTAAGGGATATAATAAACTCCACCCAAGATGAGTAACAACCAGAAAAGAACCATCTTGGACTTAGCAAAACTGACTCTAAGAAAGAAAGAAAACCTTAAAGCAGATCAATTAAGGAGGAAGAAACTGAGAAAGGACTTAAATTCATCCTCTTCCAGTGAGAGGTCTTCACACCTCTCTGCGTGGATAATCTGATGCCATCTAACCTTTTTCCAAGAGAAAGGAGGAAAGCCTTCAATATTTTTTCAAAGTTACCATAACAAAGACTCTAATATAGGACAAAGGAGGTGCCAAGCAAAAGACAGAACCATATCAACCTGTGGATCACCACCAGACCTCTGAACAGCATGAGAAATACCAATAAGATGTAACAACAAACCCCAGGAGCACATTAAAGGAAGAAGTCACCAAAATAAAAAAATCACGTTTTCCATATTAGGTATACAAGAAAGGTTTGCTATAAAGTTATTCAGTTGAAATACTTCATCTTATGAACAGGCTGAAGAAAAAAACAATTGTCTCAAGAAATGCCAAAAAGGTAATGAGTATGACAACTTAAAAGAGAAACTGACAAATAATTCCTTAACATGATTAATCCAAAGGATAGCAAAATACTAAATGGAAAAATACTAGAGGTATTTGCATTAAAATACAAAACAAGACAGACACAATGAGATGAAGAATGATGAGAAAAAAATAAAACAGCTGGGGTGGGAACTAAAATAATATACAAGAATTCCACAGGAGGACAAATAACAGAAAGAAAAGAATAATTAAAGAAAATTTTCCTAAGCACAAACTATCATTCAAGAGGAGGCTTCACATTGCAAAGATGCCAATTCTCCTTATATTTTAACATCGTTGTACAAAGACGTAAGAATATTCATTGCTTCACCGTTTGTAACAGCAAAAAACTGAACCTAAACCATGACCAGCAACAGGAGATTGGCTAACTTACGGCGCGTCCTTCGGTAGGATAACACTCACCCAGCACCAAACACCCAAATTACAAAGAAGAAAAGCTTCCAGTCAATGACCTCAATGGAATTCCACCATTAGAAACTAGAGAAAGAGCAAACGGAACCTAAAGTAAATAGAAGAAAGGAAAAAATCAAGATCAGAGCAAACAATCAATGAAACAGAAAAACAAGAATATCAATGAAGCCCAAAGTTGATCCTTGATAAGGTCAATAAAATTGGGGCTGGCTCTGTGGCTCAGTGGTTAAGTTCTCGCGCTCCGCTGCGGCGGCCTGGGGTTCGGATCCTGGGCACGGACATGGCACCGCTCGTGCGGCCACGTTGAGGCGGCATCCCATATCCCACAACTAGAAGGACCTGCAACTAAGATATACAACTATGTACGGGGTGGGGGGTTTGGGAAGATAAAGCAGAAAAAAAAAAAAAGATTGGCAACAGTTGTTAGCTCAGGTGCCAATCTTAAAAAAAAAAAAAAAAGTCAATAAAATTGACAGCCTTCAGCCAGACTGATGAGAGGGAGAAAGAGAAGATACACATTACCAATATCAGGAACAAGAGAGGTGGCATCAATACAGATTCTACAAATAGTCAAAGAATAACAAGGAAATATTATAAACAATTTCACGAAAATAGATTAAACAACTTGGAGGAAATGCACAAATTCCCTAAAACACACGTACTGTCAAAGCTCACTCAACAAGAAACTGATAACCTAAATGGTTCTTTACCTATTAAAGAGACTGAATTTGTAGCCAGAAAGCTTCCCACAAAGAAAACTCCAGACCCAGAAGGCTCTACTGGAGAATCCTACCAAACATGTAAGAAGGACCTAACACCGTTCTATACAAGCTATCCCAGAAAACAGAGGAGGAGCGGATGCTTCTCAACATATTGTGAGGTCAGCATTACCCTGGTATTTCAAGAAACTACAAACCAATATACCTCGTGAACAAAGATGCAAAAATTAATAAAATTTTAGCAAATCAGGTCTAACAATATATAAAAGGAAATTACATCACGGCCAGGTGGGGTTTATTCCAAGAATGGAAAGTTGCTTTCACATTTAGAAAACCAACCAACGTAACTATCTTAATAGATCAAAAAAAAACCTCACGTGATCATCTCAATAGATACAGAAAAAGCACTGACAAAATCCCATGTCCAGTTTTGATTAAAAGCTCTCAGCAAACTAGGACTCTACCTCCTCAACCTGACGGAGCCACACTGTCCTAAAGGATTCAAGACTGAAGGGGACGCCCAAGATCAGGAAGCACAGCAGGATGCTGCTTGCTGCCACTTCCGATAGGGCTGTGCTGGAGGCTCCAGCCAGTCACTAAGGAAGCAGAAGCAAACAAAACGTGTCCAGATAAGAAAGGAGGCAGTAAAACTGTCTTAGTTGAATACACAATTGTTATAGGTAGAAAATCCTACGCAATTGGTAAAAAGCTACTAGAACCATGAAGCGAGTTTAGCAAGCTCGAAGGATACAAGATTAATACACAAAAACCAATTGCATTTATAAATACTAGCTACAGGAACTGGAAATTTAAGCTAAAATTACTGTTTATATTAGCATTAAAATTTTTAAAGAGTCAAGGATAAATCTGACAAAAGATATGTCAAACCTGTATGGTGAAAAGTACAAAATATTGCTAAAAGAAATGAAAAAAAGACCTAACTAGATGGAGAGATATACCATTTCCAACGGTTGGAAGACTCAATATTAAGATGTCAATTCTCCCTTAAATGACCCTAGGTGTCAGGGAAAAATATTCAGTGTAATCCCAATCGAAATCTCAGCAGGATTTTTGTAGATATCAAAAGGCTGATTCTAAAATCCACATGGAAATACCAAAAATCTAGAAGAGCCACAACAACTTTGCAAAAGAGGGACAAAGTGGAGGCCTTACACTACCTGGTTTCAAGACTCATCATAAGGGGACAGTAACAAAGACTGGGTGGTGTTGGTTTCAAGACAGACAAATGGACTAACAGAACAGAATGGAGATTTCAGAAAAAGATCCACACATATAAGGCGAACTGGTTTTCAACAAAGAACATAGGTAACTCATTGGAGAAAGGATAGTATTCTCAACCAACGCTGCTGGGACATCTGGATATCCACCCCCACCCCCAAATTAATTCTATCCATATCTCGCATCATTTATGAAAACTAACTTGGAATAGATCATAGCCTAAACGTAAAACTTAAAGCCACAAAATTTCTACAAGAAAACATGGGAGAAAATCTCTGTGATCTTGAGTTAGGTAGATTTCTTTTTTCTTTTTTTGAGGAAGATTAGCCCTGAGCTACCTACTGCCAGTCCTCCTCTTTTTTGCTGAGGAAGCCTGGCCCTGAGCTAACATCTGTGCCCATCTTCCTCTACTTTACATGTGGGACGCCTACCACAGCATGGCGTGCCAAGTGGTGCCAGGTCTGCACCCAGGATCCAAACTGGAGAACCCCAGGCCGCCGAGAAGCAGAACATGTGAACTTAACCACTGCACCACAGGGCCAGCCCCTAGGTAGATTTCTTAAATGTATCACCCAAAGCACAATCCACGAAAGAAAAAAATCAGTAAATTGAACTTTCACCAAAATTAAGTTCTGCTCGTCAAAGGCACTATTAAAAACAATGAAAATACAAGCCACAGTCTCAGAAGATATCTGCAAAAAAAGATACCTGATAAAGGATTTGTACTGAGCATACATAAACAACTCTGCAAAGTCAAAAATAATACAGTCATGCGTCCCTTAATGACAGGGACAGGCTCTGAGAACCACATTGTCAGGTGATTGCGTCATCGTGCAAACATCACAGATTGCGTCATCATGCAAACATCACAGAGTGCACTTACACAAACCTAGATGGTACAGCCTGTTACACACCTAGGCTGCACGGTACTAATCTCATGGGATCAGTGTTGTATATACACGTGGTCCATTGTTGACTAACACGCTGTTGTGGAGCACGACTATAAAACAATAAAAAAGTGAACCAAAGACTAGAACAGGCAGTTCAACAAAGACTGTGTGTGAGTGGCAAATATGCATATGAAAAACACACAACATCATTAGTCATTAGAGAAATGCAAACCAAAATCACCATAAGGTACCACTACACACCTATTAGAATGATTAAAATTACAAAGACTGACCATCCCCACAGCTGGGAACATGTAGAACTGAAGCCTCACACATGCTGGTGGGAATACAAAATGGTACAGCTACTTTGGAAAAAGAGTTTGGAAGTTTCTTAAAAAGTTAAGTGTGCACCTACCATAGGACCCAGCCATAGCACTGCTAGGCGTTTACCCAAGAAAAATGAAAACATATGCTCATACAAAGACTTGTACACAAATGTTCACAGCAGTTTCATCTGTAATGGCCAAAATCTGGAAACAACCCAGTATCCATCAACAGGTGACAGGATAAACAAATTGTGGTATATTCTTATAATAGGATACTACTCGGCCATTAAAAGGACTGAATTCATGCAACAGCAAGGCTGAATCTCGAAATAATTATGCTGAGTGAAAGATGTCAGGCAAAAAGGAGTAGGTCCTCTATGTGTCCAATTAGGTAAAATTCCACAAAATGGAAACTAATCTATAGTGACAGAAAGCACTGACTTGGGACTGGGAGTCTGGGAGAAGGAATAACAAATGGCCACCAGGAAACATTTGGAGTGACAAATATCCTCATTCTCTTGACTGTGGAGTTGGTTTTATGGGGGTATACATATGGCAAAATCATCAAACTGTCTACTTTAAATAGGCATAGTATATTGTATGTCCATTATATCTAAGTAAATCTGTTTTTTAGAAAAGGAAAAATACCTACAGGAACTAAGTGAGTAGCATCTGGATAGGCCTGTCTGCCCTATCCAGAGGGCCCTGCCCCTCAACTCTGTTTCACCGGCTGCACTATGGTACTACTTGATCTTTCAATTTTTTAAAACAAGTGAGGAATACAGATTTTTAAAAATGTGAAATCTCCCAATTTTGAGTAACTTAATGCAAACAATTTAAAAATTTATGTGGGGCAAGCAAAACCTCTGTGTGGCAAATGTGGCCAGTGGTCCTCTCTCTGATGGTGGCCTGCCCCACCCCACCAGTCTGCAAATGTGCCCCGCGGCCTCTCATTTCCTTGAACATTCTCCCTTGTTATCTGCTTTCTTGCTCAAAACCAAGACCCATTGCATACCACACCCAACTCAAAAATCACTGACTTGAACATCCTGCCGTCTACCTTGGCTTCCTGTCTTTCCAACACTCTGGGTCAAGAAACCCTCCAGTGTTCCTCAACTACATGGCATCCAAGCCCATTGATCTGTTGGTTTCTTCCTGTTCACTTTCTCTCCTTGGCTCAAACCCCACTGCTCATCCTGCACATCCATCTATGTCCTTCAGTTGGTCCACTCTTACACAATCTGCATTAGATGTTTCCTCTCTTCTCCCCTCCCCTGAACTCGGATCCATATTCTCTTCCTTCTCTTTGAATGTCTTGCCTCATGTTCTAGAATAACAAATCATTAGAAATTTCCATTCACAAATCAGCTCAAATCTCATTTATCTGGCCCCCATAAGGGAGGATGGGTACCTTCTACCAAAGTCTGCTGCCGCACTACTGTGCTCTGGAGCCCACCTCTTCACGCACACACTCAGTCTGTTACCCCTTTCTCTCCCCAGGCCCTGACCCCATCTCATCGGCTTCACATGTGCTAGTTTCTCATTTTAACCAGCAAACAGAACAAGCCTCCTCCCTGGACCTCATGAATCCCTTCAGTTGTCCATCTTTCTCCCTCCTGCCTTCTCTGCTTTCATGTCCAAACAACCTTAAAAAGGAACCAACTATATTTCTCCATTTCTCCACAGTCCTTTCACCCTCATCACATCTCAATCTGGCCACAGCCCAAATGCTGAAAGATTTCTTAAACAAGACACGAAAAGCACTAACATAGAAAACCCTGATAAATTTCACTATCTTAAAATTAATACCTTCTATTACTCAAAGATACTTTTTAAAAAGTGAAAAGACAAGTAACAAACCTAAAGATGTTATCTGCAATGTATATCTAAGAATAGTCTAGTATACTGAAAGACTCCTACAAATAATAAAAATCACATTATTCAATAAAAGACATGAGCAAGCACTTTACAGATGAAGAAATTTTATGGCCAATAAACATGGTGCTTCTCAGCCTCACAAGCAGTCAGAGAAATGGACGTCCAGACCAGAACGAGATGGATCACATGCCTACCAGATGGCCCAAATTTAGACATTTAACAAAACCAGGTTTCAGGAGGGTGTGGATCAACAGGTTATTACAGACGTTGGTACTGGTAGTCACTGATGCCACCACATATAGAGCTGAAACATTAACATATTCCAACCCAAATCCTAATCCTTAATGTAGAGCCATGAAAACACAGCACTTGTGCATGAGGAGGTGAGTGTTCATGGCAGCACCTTCAGAGCAGCAACAAGCAAACAAAACAGGAGACGGTGCAAATGCCCATCGGCAGGAGAACAGACCCAGCTGAAGCCCTCATACAGCAGTGTACAAACAGTGTTGAAGATGAGCGAACACTTACAACACGGAGGAATCTCAGTAACATGACGTCAGCGAAAAACTTGCAGACCGCAAGTTCAACACAATTAAAACTAAAGAACAGTTTTTCTGTATGTGTACACAGACACACAAACTATTTTATGAAAAAGCAAGGGTGAGATAAAACCCAAACCCCAGTCAATGGTGGAGGGCTCAGCAAAAGATGGAACGGGGACAGCAGGTCACCGTGCTCACGACATGATAAATGAATGAGATAAAGGAGGAAGTGGATTGATGGTGACAGTGTGTCATGAACCCAGGACTCAGAGTACTTAAGGTCCAAAAAAGAACGAACACCCAATGTCTGCAACTTTGTATCTTAAAAACGTCGGGTGGGGCTGGCCCCACGGCCGAGTGGTTAAGTTCGCGTGCTCTGCTTCGGCAGCCCGGGGTTTCACTGGTTCGGATCCTGGGAGCCGACACGGCACCACTCGTCAGGCGGTGCCCACATACGACAACTAGAAGGACCCATAAATAAAATGTACAACTATGTACTTGGGGGATTTGGGGATAAAAAGCAAAAAAACAAAAAAAAAAGATTGGCAACAGTTGTTAGCTCAGGTGCCAATCTTTAAGAAAAAAAAACAAAACATCTGGTAATATAGCAGCAATCAGGATGCACGCAAAATGGTGCATGGAGCCCACTCACAACCACGAAGTATAAACACTGTGACAGCACATCTCCTGCACTGCTTAGATGCCAAGGGACCGACAGAAGAGAAGAGACTGCCACGGATAAGAAGGAAGACACACTTGCAGGAAGAATCATGAAAAGCATTACCTACTATATGTAAATTCCACATCCATAGGTTCAAAGTTATACGCTTGTTCAAATTCTGTATTAAGTTTAAGAGTTACATCTTCTTCATGAATCTAAAAAAGAAACAAACAATTTAATTTCTATACTTTATACTTGATTTCTTGGGACAATCTTCTATGTGTATCTAGTAACACATCATGAAACATTCATTCTACAGATTTGAGCTAAAATTTAGTATCTTAAATCCATTCAAAAACAATCAAAAAGGGTTAAATCTTTGTGCTGTTATATTATGCAAACAGGAGGACTTCATCTGTGTACCCACCCCCACGAGCACACGTACTGAACTTCTCACTGGCCACGCTCTCCACCTGGGCTCTGTGAATACTAGGTGTGCAATAGAGGCCACCGCCTCCAAAGGCAAACAAATGATTACAAGTGCAGCAAGGTGTACCTGCCACAACAGTGCCTCCATAAAAGGGTGTTCCAAGACTTTCCCTTCCATTAATAGAGGGAACTAGATGTTCTGGGACCCTCCAGCCAAAGCTAGATTCTGCATAAAAGAATTCCCAGACAAGCGGGAGGGAAAGGAAATTTCTGAAGCAACATAGGAAGCAAAACAGGAAGGAAAACCTGAGAGGTGAAAAGGAGCTCAAACCAAATAAGGGAGCACCAGGCTGTGTGGCTTTCCAAAGGCTGGATGAAAGCTGCGACTTGAGTTGACTCTAGTGTGGATACTGGCCTGCACCATGCCGATAACAAGGACTTGGATGGTGGCACTGTACCCGTCAGCAGTGCTCCCTTGTTCTCGGCAGAAGCTAACACAATCCTCTTAAAAGGAGAGCAAGCCAGCACAGGTCCTCGTGTTTCCCAGAGATTAAGATAAATGAAAATGAATCCATAATCAAAGGTCACCAAGCACACAAGAGAAACAAATCATCAAAAGGGAGGGTCAGCACAGAGAGTCATCATCAATCAGATCCAGGCCCCAAGGACAAAACATACTGGCACTGTCATTTACAGAAACTTGAAAAACTACGTACGAAATCAAAAGAAAAACCAGAAAGACAAAGATAAGCAAGCATGAGACAAAAAATGACAGGGCAGCTTTAACGAATCAGAGCATTTACAAATGAAAACTATGCCTAATGAGAAACAGGAAGAAGGAAGGCAGGAAATGACCATGCTTGTTCCCAGGCATGTGCTCCCAGCAGACAGGGAGGCCCCTCTGTGGAGGTGGCCAGGGTGGCAGAGGTCAGCACTGGGCTCTGCCTCAGGAGCCTTCTGTCCCCACGGCTCCCAGAACTACCATCCCTGGTGAGTGCACAACTTTCCAGCAGCAAAATGGCACCACTCTGGAATGTCCCCACTACCTGGTGCCAGGGTGAGTACACTGGGCCTCTGGTCATGGAAGACAACAATCTGATGTCAATGGCACAACTGCTCATTCTAGGGGTATCTCCTCTGCCCAACACATTCAGATAGCCACACTAGCTGTGGGGCTCTCCTGAGGGCCTTCTGTACCATCATGATATGCCACACCAGTGCACTGGCCAACAAATTAAATCAGAGAAAATCAAGTAAAGCATTGGGCTGAGAGCTGTAGAACTTACTAACTCTACCCTGAATTCCATCACTCAGAAGCAGCTGCTTTTATGAAGTCTGAACTCCTCGACCATGAACACCGGCCTCTGTGGTCCACTTACAGCCTTCCCGCCTTCTGAAATGACCTGTTGTGACCTTTTTGGCTATCAAAATTTTTTTCTTAACAGTATTGCAGATGCCACTTCCTCCTCTTCTGAAGCAGATTAACAAATCTCTCTTGCACACAGTAATTATTTATGTTACTCTTCCCTTCGTCTTTAGACGAACTACCTGACTGCCATCTCTGCTCACCTTCCTCAGCCAGGGCAAAGCACAGCCTTACGTCTGTGTAATCCACGAACGCTGGACTAGCTGTTACATCTTTGAAACCCTGCCTAGCTTCCACCTTCCAGGAAAAGGTCACGTTCTGTGAGCTGAGCCCCCTGCAGGCCCGGTATTTAGGTGCAGAATGCAGCAGACACAGTAGCAAAGGCCAGATGTCACCTCTTCTTTGAATCTTCTCCGGATTCCTCTAGCTCTTGCAACCCTTCCTCCCTCCAAGAATCAGGGCTTGGCACTCTCTCTTTCACTCTTCTATGCATGGGGGCTTCGTCCTTCCCTTCACACAGACCCGGGCATCACCCCCAGTGCTACGCTCGGCACAGCAGTGATGACCAGCTGAAGCAGCAGAGACCACACACACAGAACCACCTGGCACCAGGAGTTAGTTAAGCCATAAAATCTTCACCAACTTTTAGAGCTGTCAACTTTAAAGTGTATTTTTCCTTCTGAGGCTATTTCTTCTGGAACATATTCAGAATGCCCAAATGTAACTAAACGCAAACATCATGATATACATGTGATATGCTTAAAAGGTAAATATGTTTTACATGGTGGAAAATCACAGGATTTCTTTAGATACTAAATCCTCTTTATGCATCAAATTGACTTAAATATTCACTTTATCCTCCAATTTTCCAAAATACTGTCAGTACCTAAGGGAGTACCACTTCCTCCTGGGGCTGTGGCAGGAAGTTTACCTCTTCAGCTGGTCTGAGAGCTAGTCCAACATTAACTGACTACGAGTGGCTGCTCACCTCAATCACGTAGCCGATGTATTCAATGACATGTCCATTGTACTCTTGAGTTTTTAAAATCAGTTTATCACCTAGTTAAAAATATATTACCACATGTAAAACTACAAAAGCACAAAGTGGATTAGAACAAAACATTGTGATCAACTGCTTAAAAGTAACATCAGTGTGACAAAAGAGAGATGTTGTATATACTCAAGTTGCTGACCAAGTTTTAGATAATTTCTAACCCAAAGCAAAGAAAACCAGGTAACGTGATTGCAGCATTGCAATTACAATGTTCTTCCCCAACTGTGCTTCACTGTCTGCTGATCCAGCTAGTAAAACATGACATGTAACACACTCACCTGCATACAGAGAAGGCCTACTTTCAGCTAATCCTGGAACCTCCAGAACCAGAAAATCCCCATTTCTTTTCAAGGTGACTCCACTCATATTATACTCTTTCAGTTCCATTTCTGCATGAATTTCCTCAAGCCAAAGCAAAGTTGAAAATTTCTCCTTGTAGTTTGACATCTTCAAAAGCTGAAAAACAACCCCAGCAAATTAATGAGAGCAGAGTTAACACATCAAGTACACCTATGTCCAGGAAATAAGTGGCTCTGGGGCTGGTAAGTCCAGGCTGCTGAAATGCAACAGGCAGATGGAATAATATCTTTCTCTTTATTATTATTATTATTATTATTTAATTTTTCCTTCTCCCCAAAGCCCCCCCATTACATAGTTGTATGTTTTGGTTGTGGGTCCTTCTAGTTGTGGCATGTGGGATGCCGCCTCAACGTGGCCTGATGAGCGGTGCCATGTCCGTGCCGAGGATCTGAACCGGGGAAACCCTGGGCTGCCGAAGTGGAGTGTGCGAACTTAACCACTAGGCCACAGGGCTGGCCTCGGAATAACAGCTTTCAAACACACTACCAGGCAGTGCAGGGCAGTGATCCTGAAACTAGGGAAACTGTCTAGGTGAGCCCCACAACTGTCCCAGCTACTGCATAGACAGGGTTCCCAGCCCCAGAACAGGAACGGAACCCAGGCGAGCTGTGTGATCTCTGCATTGAGATGAAGTTGGGGGACTGAGGAGGCCGAGTGCCAGAAAGACACAGCAGCACAGAGAGAGGTATGGAGAGCTTCAGAGGGTCCCCTCTGAGCCGTCAGCTGAGTAGTGGCCAGTGTATGAGTGCGAGAAACCACGTCGGGCCAGGAGACCTGTCTGATGGGATCACAGCAGGGCTCCTCAGCCTCAGCACTACTGACACTGGGCTGTACTGCTCTCTGGGGGGTAGGGGGGTGATCCTGTGCATTGGAGGGTGGCCTCTACCCACTAGATGCTACTAGTACCCCCCAGTCATGACAACCAAAAATGTCTCTTGGGGGGCAAACTGTCACCCGTTGAGAACCACTGGACCAAAGAGAAGGACTCCCACACAGGCCTGAGAACAGTGTGGGTCCCCACAGCCTAGAAGGAAAGGCCTATAACAAAGGGGCACTGCACAGAGTACTCAGAATGGTATTAGCCTTAAACTAAATGCTATTCTGGTCCCACCCAGTAAAGCTTTAAACCATGTTTAAAAGTATCCAACGAATGTTTCCAAGTAACTCAACTGCTTCCCAGAACAAAGCTCAAAAATATTTTTAGGAATAGACAAATATCCAACACCCAACAAGGTAAAATCCAGAATGTTGGGCATCCAAAGATTACCAGGCATGGGAAGAAGCAGAAACTATAACCCATAATGAGGAGAAAAACCTATCAATAGAACCAGAAGTGACACTTGTGACAGAATTAGTACACAAGGACATTAAAGCAGCTGTTCTAACTTTATCATATATGTTCAAAAAGTTGAGGAAAGACTGAGCACATTAAGCACAGACACAAGATATAAAAAAAGACCCAAATTGAACTTGTAGAGATAGTAACTACAATGTCTGACATAAAAAATACACTGGATGGGACTGCACATTGCAAAAGAACAAATCAGTGAACTTGAAGACACAGCAATAGAAACTGTCCAAAATGCAATGCTAAGGGAAGAAGACTGAAGAACAATGAACAGAGCATCAGTGAGCTGCGGGACAACTCCCAGTGTCTAACGTTCACGTAGTAAGGATGTGGCAAAGGGGGCAGAAAGAGTATTTGAAGACAGAATGGCCAAAAAATCTCCAAATTTAAGGAAAAATATAAGCCCCATATCTAAGAAGCTCAAAGAACCCCAAGCCAAAAAATGTGAAGAAAACTATATACGAAGGCACATTGTAAATTAAATTTCTTAAAACTAATTATAAAGAGAAAATCTTAAAAGCAGCTAGAAAGAAATACACATTATGTATGAAAGAACAAAGGTGTGAAGGAAAGCAGCGGTCTTGTGAGAAATGCGGTGGGCAGACTGGAGGACAGCCGAGCAGCACCCCTAAAGTTGAGGCCTACAATTCAAACCAGCAAAAGTTGCCTTCAAAAATGAAGGCGAGACAAAGCCTTTTGCAGACATACAAAGGCTGCAAGAACCAACAGTGGCCACAGCAGACAAGTGCCACAGGCAGTGTGCGAGCCCTTCAGCGGGAGAGGGACCCATGGCAGGCTGGCTCCACAGAGAGCTCCAGGAACAGTGACAATGTGGTGAGCATAAAAGACTCATCTTTTAAATGCCTCTAAAAGATAACTGATGATGTAAAGTAAAAAGGGTAAAATCCATTATTCAGTTCAAAACACACACACACAGAAGTCAAATTCACATTAGCAAGAAGGCCAAGAAGAGAGAACGAGGAGGTAGCACCCAAAGCTCCCACACTGTGCAGGAAGTGGCAGGGTGTCATCTGCAGCCTGTGATGAGCTGACGGCGCTGTCCTGCGCTGTCCAAGACAGCCACTCTCCACATGGGGCTATTAACAGAAATTAACTCAAATTAACTCAAATTAAAGATTCAGTTCCTCAGTGGCACTAGCCACACTGCAAACACTCAGTAGCTACTTGTGGCCAGTGGCTCCCACACCCGAGAGCACAGATGCAGGACATTTCTATCATGGCAGAAAGTTCTACTGTACAGCGCTGTTAGAAACCCTAGACACACAACACTACACACGCTACAATAGGAGTGTTATCAGCCAAGAAAGAAGATAAATGGAATCACGAAAAAGAGGATAAAGAAAACAATGAACAGGGGCCAGCCCCGTGGCCGAGTGGTTGTGCCCGTGCACTCCACTTTGGTGGCCCAGGGTTTCGCCAGTTTGGATCCTGGGCGCAGACATGGCACTGCTCCTCAGGCCATGCTGAGGCAGCATCCCACATGCCACAACCAGAGGCACTCTCAACTAGAATATACAACTACGTACTGGGGGGCTTTGGGGAGAAGAAGAAGAAGAAGAAGACTGGCAACAGTTGTCAGCTCACGTGCCAATCTCTAGAGAAAAAGAAAAGGAAAACCATGAACAACTAAAGAGCAAACAGCCAGATGGCAGATGTAAATCCAATCACATTAACCATCATACAGAACGTAACTTGTCCAAACACCACAAGTAAAAAGCATTGTCAGATGGATAAAAAAGCCAGACTCAAATAGCTGGTTCCCTTAAGAAGCCCACTTTAAAGACAAAGATACAAGGAGATTACAAGCCAAAGAGTGGGCAGGATGCCCTGTGCAGCAGAGGTCACAGCAAGCCGCAGGAGCTACAGGAACGTCACACAAAGCAGGTTCTCACGCCAAGCACATCGCCAGGACAAAGCGGGACATGCCATGCTGACAAAGGGTGAATCAATCAAGACGACACAATAACCATACATGTTCATGCACTCATTACAGAGCTTCAATGGAAGAAGCAAAGACTGATGGGGCTGCAAAGAGAAACAAATACATACTGATAGTCAGAGAATTCAACTCCCTTCTCAATGATTTAAAGAACAAGCACACAGGAATCAATAAGGGCACAGAAGACTTCAACAACACTACAGACTAACTTGCCCGGACAATTATAGAATAACCTGCCAAATCAAACAGCAGCAGAATGTACATTCTTTCCAAGTGCACAAGGAATACTTACCAAACTAGACCATAGCTTGGACAGTGAAACAAACGGTAAATAAACGCAAAAGGGTTCAGTCATACAAACTATGTTCTCTGATCACAATGGAATTAAAATTAGAAATCAACAGAAAGATTTCTGGAAAAAAATTCCAATATTTGAAAACTAAATAACACATTTTTAAATAATCTATGGGTCAATAAAGAAATCAAAAGGGGGGCTGGCTTGGCGGCATAGTGGTTAAGTTCACATGTTCTGCTTCGGCAGCCCAGGTTCACTGGTTCGGATCCCGGGTGTGGACCTACACACTGCTTGTTGAGCCATGCTGTGGCAGGCGTCCCACATAAAATAGAGGAAGATGGGCACGGATGTTAGCTCAGGGCTAATCTCCTTAAGAAAAATTAAAGAAAAAATAAAATAATAAATCAAAAGGAAAATAGAAGATATTTTGAACTAAATGAAAATAACACAACCAAGTGAAATTTGTGGGATGTAGCTAAACAATTTCTAAGTAAACATCCTCCCCTGAGGAAAACTCCAGACCCAGAAAACCTCACTGGTCAAGACCATCAAAAACCATCAAAAAATTTCTTGGGGCTGGCCCCGTGGCCGAGTGGTTAAGTTGGCGCGCTCCGCTGCAGGCAGCCCAGTGTTTCGTCGGTTTGAATCCTGGGCATGGACATGGCACTGCTCATCAAACCACGCTGAGGCGGCATCCCACATGCCACAACTAGAAGGACCCACAACTAAGAATATACAACCATGTGCCGGGGGGCTTTGGGGAGAAAAAGGAACAAAATAAAATCTTTAAAAAAAAAATTTCTTAAGGAAGAAATGCCACCAATTTGACAAACTCTTGGGAACACTTCCCAAACCATTCTATGAGGTCAGCACTGTGCTGATACCACCCTCGACAAAGAAAACTACAGACCAATGTCCCTCATAAACACAGATGCAAAAATCCAAACAAAATCTTGGCAAATCAAATCCAACTCCGTGTGTGTGTGCATGTTTGTATATACATGTCTACAAAACACACATATGTATGAGTGACAGTAGCATGACCACTTACTTTATCATAGGAATGGAAGGTTGGTTTAACATCTGAAAATCAATCAATGGCATTCGCCACATTAACAGACTAAGGGAAAAAAAAAAACCACACGATCTTCTCACTAGACGCAGAAAGCATTTGAAACTCACTGAAGATCAGCCATCTGAAGCAGCCACGTCAGTGCACTGAGCACACTCCCAGTGCTGCGCAACCCCTGGCCCAGCAAGCGCTTTCCCCTCCCTCCTTCCTGCAGACCCTGGCAACCACCACCTGCACTCAGTCTCTATGGACAGATCGACTCTGTACATTTCAAGTGAATGGAATCCCACAATAGGTGACTGTGCATCCATCTACTCTCATTCAGCATCAAAAACAAACTGAGATATATTCACAGAATGACTACGCAGCAACAAAGTCATTATCTTCATTGTGGTGACGTATGCAGGTGTCAAAACTGTGATCAAAGTGTGCACCTTAAACTTAGGCAGTTCACTGTACGCCAACTACACCTCACTCCAGCTGAGGAAAGCTCTGCACCATGTGTCGAGCATGCTTCATGGCCAGCTCCCAGGATTAAATAAATCAGAAAGGTGGAAGTACTTTGGAACCTTAAACCACATACACTTTTTATGATTACTGCCATCAACATTATTGCTGAATAGGAACATGCTTTCTTCTGGTAACTTCCACCCTCATGAAGAAGGTCTTTTCTGAGCATGCAGGCCTGTGTCAAAGGAAAGCTGTGGATGCACAGACTTACATGATGTTCACAGAAGCAGTATCTGCACTAGCAGCAATTACTTGGCCTTAGAGTTCTTCCCTAACTTATTTTTAAGGCTGGTTTGCTGCCATGGGCTTAGTTCAGGTCCTAAAATCATTACAACTGTTGCACTGACTTCCTAACAGGTTTCCCTGCTTTCATTTTGCAGCCCCCGGCCCCATCCATCCTCCACACCCTAGTCCTTCCAACAACTAGGTCATGCAGAGCTGCCCAGACCTGCCTCTGTGCCTTGGCATGTCACTCCACAGTAAGCAGTGTCTTCCCCCTCCTCAAGAACGTCAGTAAGTCCCCTTGGGGAGGGGCTATCTCCTGCCTGTGCCTACCGCACAATGCAGCATCGAGGAGGCTTCTACCACCCACCCTACCAAGGGGCCCAGAGTTCGGGAGACAGGAAGGGCTCCATCATTCCCACAGCTGGGTGTGCTTCTCCGGCTCAAGGATAACCACTCCACAGTGCAAGACCCTCCCCCACCAGCTTCTTCCCAAACCTTCTCTCCTCTCGTTGAAACTCCACTCTCTCCTCTCTACAGGCTCATGCCCTCAGTCCATAAACAGGCGTGAGACTGTTCATCCTCAACAAAAGCTCTGGTGAACCCACATCTCCTTCCAGCCACTGTCCCCTCTCTTCCCTCCTCCTCACTGGACACTGCAGAGGCTCAGGCCCCCACTTTGCTCATCTGCTCCTCAGCCAAAGGACTCTGAAACCCTTCGGAAAACGCCCTCCTGGAGACGGGGCAGCGCTCTCCCCTCTAACTGCCAAATGCAACAGCCTTTTCTCCTCCCTAGACTTCGCTCAGATGGGCACACAAGTGTGTGCTGTCCTCCCTCAGCCTCTCTCAGCGCCACCCTGTCCTTATCCCTTGTGCCTCCTCCCTGCCAGTGGTCCCACCCCTCTCCTGGCTTCAGCCGCCACCTGGAAGAGCGGGCAGACTCAGACAAGGATTCCTCCAAGGAGTCACTCGAATGGATGTGCCTCACAAAGGCGGCACCCGAGTGAGGCCTGGCAACCTTGCCTTGCTCCCAACTACTAGTCTGTGCAGCTAGAGGTCTTTTCCACAGATGTCCTGTCTCTTCTCAGTTCCTCCTCTCAGAGAAAGTTTCTATCTATTTTTAGTTGCTGAGTGTTTTAACATGAGTGGAAAGCCATTAAGAAGCTTGGCTGCCAGGTCTAGCGGAGAGAGGCTGGGCTGGTGGCAGAGGGTATCCCACCCCATTTTGCCCCCCAGCCCCCAAGAGCCCAGTGTATGACTCAGTAAGGCTGTGAGGATGTCACCTCCTGGGGCATTATTCACCCTTAATTTACAAAGGAATACAGCAATGGTCCCTTTCTCTGTTGTCCTGAAATTCCCAGCTACCTGTGGTAAAGATAAACCAGTATGAGGTCTGAGCCTGAGAAGAGTTCACACTGATTATGTCAGAAAACAACTCAAGGGTGGTGAAGAGTCAGCGTTTCACACCAGACACCTTGCCTACCTCTGCGAGCAACGGCTGAAAGGTCAGTATGTCGATTTTTTGTTCTACACATTTTTTAAGTCTATCTGGTATTGGATAGTGTGGAAGGAAACTTGGAAGTTGTCGTCTTGAGTTCCTTAAAAAAGAATTTCACAAGTTAAAAACAATTCTTAATCACCCTGGCATTTCATACTTAGACATCCTGTCCTGGTTTAGAAGACAGTTCATTCAATCACCGAAAATAACTGATATATGAACTCTTGGCCCAAGTCAGTAGTTTGCAAGTTTTTATTTTAGCTTTCAGATCCTTTCTCCAAACAAGCTCCCACTGGGTCCTCTCATCTCCACTGAGGGGGAGAGCAGAGCTGCTTTGCCTACAAGAGGAGAATGGGTCCCCATTGCCCAGGAACCTCTTGGAACCAATGAGTTTGAAAACAACTGTTTTTAAGCTTCCAAATAGTGAAACTCTTACTTACTACTATATTTTTAATAAGGACACGAATATTAGAAACTATACCCTATTACTGCAGAAGAGCATGCCTGGTAAAGGCTGCTCTGTCTGGGCCCCGCCTGCCTGTTTTTCAGCCTGTAATTCCTCTGAGGAAATTCAGTTCCACCCTCGAGCTCCTGCCTTTCCCTAGAAAGGGCTGTTAGTAGGAATGATGAAAATTCTGCTACCAGAATTTGGACTTGCTGTGGGAAGGTCCAAAACAGCAACAAAATTGACAGGAAAGGAAAAAGTTGGAAGAAGAGAATCTAGGAAAGGGCAGAGGTGTTAAAGTGTCAGAGAGTGAGGTCGTTTGTACTCTTCAGCTTGAGTCTGTCCCCTCACTGCAGAGGAGAGAGGCGCCTGGTACTGCTACTCTCACTCCCTCCCTCCTCACTCTTGCTCTCAGCCTGCATTTGAGTGGAGAGGGAAGTCTTCCCCAGTCTCCTTGCTCCACCAGGTCACCTGACGTGGGGGCTTTTTTAGCTCAGCTTAGAATAGGAGGGCTGATTAGAGAGGAGCTCTGTGACAGAAATGCCCCAGGAAATCCCAGGGCCACCACCAGAAGCACCAGGGGCTGGATGAGAGCATAGGTGTGGGGCATGTGTGGGAAGCAGGGGCTGGATGAGAGCACAGGTGTGGGGCGTGCATGGGAAGCAGGGGCTGGATGAGAGCATAGGTGTGGGGCATGTGTGGGAAGCAGGGGCTGGATGAGAGCATAGGTGTGGGGCGTGTGTGGGAAGCAGGGGCTGGATGAGAGCATAGGTGTGGGGCGTGTGTGGGAAGCAGGGGCTGGATGAGAGCATAGGTGTGGGGCGTGTGTGGGAAGCAGGGGCATGCCATAAGTGACAGCAAAGTACTAATTACTAATAGGAACACTACACATGTGTTCAGGTAGCGGGCCTAACAGTCCATCTTAGTCCCATGTGGCCTCAAAAGGCAGGGCGAGTCAGCAGGTGTCTGCTCACAGCTTAGGAGGGCTGGAAACTCAGCTGAGAAGGTCCTGGCACAAAGAGGGTCCTCAGCAGGTTGGCTAAGTGAACACATGAACACACTGTTCTGGGAGAGGAGCAAAGACAGAGCAGGATGTGTAGGATGTATGGAAGCCCCGCTGGACACGTGGGGGGCAGGCAGGTGTAGACCCTGGGTTCCAAGGGTACCCGAGCCAAGCAGGACAGGCACTTAGGGTCACTAACTTGATGACAGGAAGCAAATGTCTCTTGTTTTAGAGACACCCCTGTACAGTGACAATGTATTAATATTCAAAGGGAAATAGCTGACCAGGAGATTAAAGTACTTGTGGTTTTTGGTCTATGTTGCTCCTCAAGTTAAGCCAAATTATATCTAGAAAGTTACTCAGTATACCATTAAAAGACAACTGGAGGTTATTAAAAGCTCTTGTAATTAAAACCCAGCCATCTGGGACTCTCCACTCCCTGTAGGCCACAGTAACTTCTAGCTCCTGTGTTTTAGGTTCCATCCCCAGAGCACACCCCTTTACATGACCAACAACTGTTGCTACCTACCACTATTGATTGCTCTGTGCCAGAAACTGCACATTTTACATCCCTTACCTTGTTTAATCCTCATAACCCCACGAGGGAGGGACTATCACTTTATAAATGAGACTAAGGCTCAGAAAGGTTAAGAAGCTGGACCAAGGTCACATAGCTTCCTGGTGGCAGTGCTGGGAGTCAAACAAAGGTCTGACTCCAGAGGTCAACAGCCACACGACACTCCTCTCTGCTAACAGATCTTTTTCCTTCAGCCTGAAAATTCACAGAAGTCTATAATACTTTATCTTAAACTGTTACTGGCAAGATGTGATTTGAAATTCAGGATTTTCCAATATTGGAAAAGCAGTACCTATCACCCCAGTGGGGTCTGGGCAGCACCTGAGCTAAACCCATCAGTGACTGCAGTGGAGGGGCGAGCATTCACATCACACAGGATAAGGTCATGAAATACCCTCACATTCCTATAGGTCTGATTTTTTTGGCACCAAACTTAGAAAACAAAATCTGCTTTTCACAGCTTTTTGGTTTCATAACTATAGATGAGAAAACGTGGACTTTCAGCACTTTCTTGAAACTACATCCAACTAAAGTCTGAGTGGTCCCCAAGTCCCTCACTCACATGTCACTAGCAGATTACATGTTTTTTTTCTTAATTTCATTCTTCAAAGGTGTCATATCTTCAAATGGGCTTCAAGTAGCCAAGCAACAAGACCATGGTCAGTCACATCTCACTGACCCTATGCTGACCAGTGCCTCTGGGTGCCCATGTGAGACATGAGATGTCTCTGGAGACAGCTGGGCTGTGGGGAACAGGAGAGGTGGCAGGAGCTGGCATGGGTCAAACTGTACCTGCTCTGAGAAAGTCACCCTAGAGGAGCCAGGGTGGAGCGGGGGCCTGGGGGCATCACAAGGCCCTGTCCTCACAGTGCTGACCGCCATCCCCGGGCCCTCCTCAGAGGAATGTAAGAGTTGCGTGAAAACATACCCCTTGCCTCAAGTACAGTGATGGCAGGAGGCTTGCAAGCCAGCTGCACCCCCTTTATCCTGGGCTGTCCACCTCTCTGTAACAAGAAGGTAGCTATACTCGTCTCTCACACGGCCAGCATGCACTCCAGGTCACGTTCCTGTCTTTTCTGCTCATAGTACCTTTTCTGTGTGGTTACCACCACTGTAGTTTTGGCGGAAGCTAATGCTTGGGAACTTTTAGACTTTTTCCATGAAAATGGTTCTCGGACAGCTATCAGTGACTCCTCTCCACTTACAACATTCACTTCAAGGACTCGCCCGATTATGAAATTAGAGAAGCAAAGCAGAAGGAGCTCCTTGCAGCGGCCAGAATTCCTTGAAAAAACAAAACACGACTTAGTTTTAGTCATAAATAAGACAGGGAGATTCAACATAATTTCCCCTTGAACACATAAGGAAAGTCAGAGTTATCCATCACAGTCATCCCTAGTTTTTAATAATTCTTTTTACAGAACAAAAGAGACTTTCTAAAACAAGCAATGTAATGTTTTCCCTGAGACAAAATCAAGCCCCTGAAATACTCTTTTCTGTAATTCTCAAACTTAGGAATAAGAAAAATATTTTCAATGTTCTCAGGTTTCAATGATAATTGTATAACATGACCAGAAACACAGCGTCTGGCTCTGCTCCCTGCCCTATCCCCTGCTGCTGCCGTCATCGAGGTCACCCTGTGTTCACCACGCCTCTTCACTTATTTCACTACAGTGCTACACCACAGGCCGCTCACTGCAGGGCTGCGGTTTGCTTAAATGTCACCTATGGTTTGATGCTGGTGGGCTTAGAGTGAGGTGGTGATTTAATCAGTCATTTTGAAAAGAAGATTTAGAATTAGCAAGTGTAAGATGACTGATGACAAAGGGAAGGAAGCCAAAATGCCCAGCTGACAGCTGACCAGCGGGCAAGGCTGGGGAGTTCTGGACACAGGGAAGGAGGTGGGAAGAGAAGGACCTATGAGGGTTCACGTGGCTAGCTGGAGGCAGGAAGCTGTGAGATGGAGGCTTTAACACCCGGCAGGCATGCAGGGCCCGTATCTGGGCCAGCTCCCCTGGTGGAGGTGGAGGGAGCACTGTGGGGGTATATGGAGGAGCAGCCGAGAGGCTTAGGGCAGGACAGCTCCAAGGCGGGGCAAGGGCAGACTGTTAGGATTAGCGTGGCCGTCAGCTCAGGTGGGTAAATCACTCAAGCCTTTTCTCCACCAATCCTTTTTCTTGATTTTGTCCCAGCAAAGCAGTTACGAATGCTTTTTTAACACCCAACTCAGCAGTACCATACATGAGGCCTAAAAAGACAGACGTACAAATGCCCCCAAAGGACACTCACTCCAAACCTTCCAGTCACCTACTTTGCGTCACATACAATCACAACCAGGGTTCTGCCACCTGGAGGGATGAGTCCACCAGCTTCTGTCACCTGCTTCCTTGATATACTCTTTTCTTCTTCTCCATTCTCTCCTTTACAGGCACAGTTATCTGATAGATGAAATTTAGATCCAAAATTAGACCAGATGGCAAAATGTTTTTGATAGTGGTGGTATGCAAGCGCAAAACAATACTCAGACACACACAAGTAAGCACACCAAGACAATGGCCAAAGCATGAGGCAGTGCACAAAGCAGTGAGAACAGGAAAGGGTGAGAACCAAGGGTCTGAGTCACTGGGAGAAGAGTCATGACGCCTCGACCGCACCTGGGACACCCCTTGGTAGCCTTTCCAGATTTAGAAATACTCACCAAAACGGCACATCTAAAGCACTTCTGGGTATCTGTGAAGCTATTTTTGTCCCTGTCCCCAGCCCCGAAACATCAGAGAAGGGTCTAGAGCCAAAGAGCTCATGGTGAAAACTGCCAAAGAGGCTGGAGTATTCCGGCCACTCCGCCCCTGCCCAGGACCCCTCAAGCAGCAGCTGTGCCATCACCCAGACCCAACTGGGCTCACAGGCCACGAGGCCCCGGCCATCAGGTCAAAGCCGGTAGCGGCTGACACCTACCTGGGGAGACTTCTCTGCTGTTCACCAGACTGTTCTCCGTCTGATAGGTTTTGTTTTTTCTGTAGCTATCTAATGAGTTAACATTTTCATCCGAAAAATTCTTCTCCTTCTCAGGAACAGAAACAATAGACGCCACGGGGCAAGTTTGGTCTTTATCCAGCATTTGAAATCTGAATTGTTTTGCTTTATCCCAGCCAGCCAGTTTGCAGCTGACTAAGTTTTGAGGAACATCTCCTTTATTCCTGGAAAAAGAGAATTAGCCATGAACACAGACAGGATTTCTAAAGCTAAAATATTCAGTTACCAGAAAACATAGAATTAAATCTAACTAGTGAATTGGCAATTGCAAATACCTGTATGAATATAAGTACAAAAGGATACTTCAGGGTAAAAAATTTTGAAAAGATTTTTATAAAGGAAAAAATAAATGAGCAAAGTAACGTTGGTTCTACAGAAATTCTTAAATCACAGTTGAAACCACACTAACGTAATTTTATTTAAGTGGTGAACTTACTCTATCCAGATCACCATATTTTTGCTTCCTCCTTCTTTTAGAGTTCCAAAATTTGTCATCCTTGTGACTTCAATATCACCTTTGTTTTTCAATAAAAGGGCTCCACAGGACTCAGCGGCAGCCTCTTCGCCAGCAGGGGAGTCTCTGGAGAAAACACCCATAGAACGCGTCACTGCGGCAGGCCTGCATCCTAAAGTACCGCCTCTCAGCTGCCACTCTGCTTCCAGATGCCACCAACCACAGGACAAGCTGCTACGCAAGGGGTAAAAAGTCAACCCCAGAGAGGTGACCACGAAACTACACAGAGCTTCTATAACACCGAGGGTTTCAGAGAAGGACAGCAAATCATCTGGAAGAAGAGAATGACAAATCCAGTACAACCTGGAGAAGAGGAAGCAACAGAGAGGTGACATCTCAAAAGGAGTCCCTGATTCTGAGAACACAACATGGACCCAACTCCACCAGCAGGGTGGTCCAGAGATGATGGGGGAGGGACCTCCCCTCCTTGGTCACCAGGGGAGGGGAGTGTTCAGTCTCCTTTCAAGGCACCTCCCAGGCTGCTGGGAGGGGAGGTAAGCTTTCATTCGGAAAAAGTTTTGTTGCTTCTAAGTATGTGAAAACAATTAAATGAGTTCAACTCTTTAGAAAATGAGATTTTACCCTCTCCTCAGAAGGGACCCATTTACGTCCCTTTATTCTACTGACATGGCTGTGAAGGACAGGCCTCATTCTCCTCACGCTCACCCACGGTGCTCTTTCCAGAGGTATATCTGGTGTCACTCCCTCCCCTGAGGCAGCCTGCAGCCCCTTCACGTTTCTGGTCCCTGTCTACAAACTCAGTGACATTCTCAACCAGGCTGGAGGCCAGCTCCTGCTCCTTCCACACTCGCCTCCCCTCCCACCTCCCATTCTCTTCCTTTCTCTCCTCCTCCACATGGGCCCATCCGACTGCCACCACGCCCTGATGCCTCTCAGAGCCCTCTCAATCCTGCCTTTGCCCTCACCCCAGAGCCGGGGGGGCTGTGAGAGCAGCACTGGAAGCAGAGTTTCAGTTCCTGCAGACAGCCAACAACAGCTGCTAAGGGATGGGTTGAGGAATCTGAAAAAACGGGGAGTCAACCGGTCCCGAGAATGGAGAAGAGAATGGGGAAGACGCTGGAGGCCTGGGTCTGGGAGAGCAGCTCTGCTCCGCGCATATCACTGGAACCGTCTTTCAGGCACTTGAACAGGCAGCCAGAGAGAGGGTCTGAGTGGAGGGCAGTGTCCCCCACACAGGGGGCTAAAGCCGTGGAGTCTGGCCCAGCTGCCGAGGAAACTGACACAGATAGAGGTGACTCCCCTGTGCTGACTCCAGAAGCCTCACTCGAGGGTCAGGATGCCTAGGTGGGGACGAAGCACACAAACGGAGGGCAGAAACGTGGGTCTTCTTTGTCCAAGGCTATACTCCTGTGGCTATAACAGCGCATGGCACACAAATGGCACTCACTGGGCATCTGCTGGAAGGACGGATGGGATGGAACATTCATCTCCATTACAAACTGAGGAAACAGGAACTGACTGCTCACTGGCTGCAAGCTCCCCTGGAAATTCCCTTCATCTACTCACCCCTAAACCCTCACTCTGACTAGCAGATTATGAGAGAATTCGGTGGTCACAGGAGTTGGGGCTGGCTCACCGTCAGTGTCCAACAACAAAGGTGTGAAGACTTCCCTTGCTACGTGAGGCAGACAAAGGACAAGGCTCAGGGAGGGTGCCTGGCTCAGGGGCATCCCTCCCCCAGGATAAGCAGCATTTCCCCACTGGACTGGCTGCCCCGACTCACATGTGCACAGGGGTCTGAGTCCACTGCAGCCCAGGGGCCACCTGAGGAGGCTCCCCACCAACAGACCACTCACAGCCAGGGAGCCTACTGGCTATGCCCCCACCCACTCCATTCAACAAGACACTGGTCCACACCACAGTGAGCCACCACTCCACTGGAAAACATCATAAACTAGTAAGTCATAGAGTATGTTGAAAGGTAAGTGCTGGAAAAAACAGAACAGACTGGGCAACAAGGACCCAGAATTGGGGCAAATTCTGTCATTCAATGACCACACTGGCCCTGAAACCTAAGATGGCAACTACTTTCTTTGTGATGTCAGTTAGGGGCCAGTATGGCCACCGTCCCAAAACCCTCCATGCCTGCAATCAGGAGCCCAGCTAACTGCAGGGTCTTTTTCAAGGCCTTCTGGCCTGAAGGAAAAGTCAGGGAGTGTTTCCTGAAAGTGGGCCAAAGTGACTCCAACCCTAATGTGGGACAGGGACTCCGGCTTTGGCCCCAGGGCTTCAGGTTGCTGGCCCCCAGTAAGACCACAGGCCTGGCAGGAACCCGAGAGCCCTACTCAGACACAGGCAGGTATAGATGCTGGGCCCATGCAATGGGGCTGAAACCAGAACTTCAGTGCCTCCTGGGCCTTCTCGGGTCGGGGGAAGACGTGGGCAGCATGTCTAACTTCACTGTCCCACAGATAGGCCTGAGTCATTCCCCAAAGGGAAGCAGAGCCCAAGAGGCAGAGCTCTCCTCATCCTTTCCCCCAAGCTCCACCCCCTACACACTTGCCCAGCCTGGAGCTGGGCAGCCTGTCTCCTTGAACCTTGGCTGCTTGGCGTAAAGCAGGGGTACTCCCTGCTGTCTGCTACTGACAGAACTGCACACACCCCACCCACGGTTCACAGACACCGAGCCAGAGCCAGGTGCTCACTAGGCAGCAGCAAACAGACACCAACCGCTCCCACACAGAGCTCCATTCCAGTGAGGAGAGGAGGCGTCAACAGAGTCATTAAGGGACCGTATGGAGAGCTCGGAGGAGACCAGCTCTAAGGAGGAAAAGCAGGCAGGGTTGCGGTTTCCACTGAGAGCTCAGGGAAGGCCTATCATGCTACATAAACATGCGTGGGGAGGTGGGGGGGAAGGGATCACTGAGGCTCAGAAGGAAGAACAGATACAGAAAACTCAAGAATTTTAAGAACCTACCATGTCCAAAGTATTCTAAAAAACGCCAGTATGTGAAAGAAGAACAAAAGACAAAAATCCACCAAAATATTAAAAATCACCAATATAAAATTAAGGATTAGGAAGGAACCTTTAAGCTGACTTTCAATCAATCAGAAAGACCCCTCAAAACCCTCCAAAAGATGCTCTCTTTTTAACCACCCAGCTCAGGATTTGGACAGTATTATTTTGGCTTATTAAAGTAACTCTCAAAATACACTTAAATCACGCCTTTCCCTTGCCAGACAAGAAAGCTGTGTCCTCATTACCGCCTTTTCACTGGAGTCATGCAGAGGGCTCTCCAGACATAGCACGACTGGCTGCTCTCCACCACCACAGCACTGACCACGTCGTATCTTCGAGGGATATATCCTTCTGGAAGGTTCAGAGAGTCCAAGGTGAAAAAGATACTGTCGTCTATCACACCATTCCTTCCACAGAGGCTGGAAATGCAGACCTGCAAGCAGAGCAAGGGGAACTGCGGCAACATGCACTGCACGAGGGGCCCGCCTACCTCTGCAAGTCAGCTGGACCTGGAGGGCCACCACAAGTGCCTGCTGAGCTGTTTGGCAAAACCTCACTCGGCCCCACCACAGACAGTTAAAGCTGAATCTAGGGGGAGTGGGGACCCTGCTGTCAGAGGAGAAGCAATGCCCTGAAGATTATGCTACGTGTAGGGTCTGAAACAAGGCTGAGACAGCGACAATGGGCAGAGTGAGAGGGTGTGGGGTGGCGGGTGGTCACTTCCCTACTTCTTCAACTCAGTACAGTGCATGCCCCTAACTCCACCCCACGCAAACTCAGTTCCACTTCCTGAACCGTGCCAGCTTTTACAAGCAAGCTCAAACCTTACATCTCACTCCACTCATTCCCAACAATACAACATTTACAACTTCATTATGTGAGGACACCAGGCTGGTCTCTAGTGATCTCCTTATGGAAAGACAGCATTCTCAGTAAGAGGATAGGCTCCTCTTTGGCCGAGACTGAACCTAATGCACCAAGAGAATACAGGAACCCAGGAACGTATGATGGTCATCACCTACCCTGTCCACACGCTTGTACCTCAGTGGCTTCACTGAGATGGCCTCGCTGCTCCACGTGCCTGGCCGTATCCAATACTCAGCCTCCACCCAGTCTCCCTTGCAGGGCTGGAAACCTCCAAGGCGAGGGAAACCACGTGTGTTATTTGGTAATGTTGTAACATCAAAGTGTACAATTTACTCTGAAGTTAGGATACACTCAAAGCGTTCCTGTTCTATCTGAGACACATGTGAACAGTTAAGAAAAGCTGCTCTCTGTTCCTGTTAGAAAACAGTTTATCAACCTTAATCCTCTTCTAAGGTACCCTAGTTGAATGGAGCAGTACGTGTTACAGACCAACCTTCCTTCTTCAGCCTTATGGGGCAAGGGCAGGGAACCTGCAGCCACGGTGGTCATGTAGCTGGTTTGCCAAGTTTCAGGATCCCATCTGGTTTCAAATGTTCCCCATATTTTTCATTAAAATAAACAAACGAAGCATTATTAACCATATTACTCTGACAAAATAAGCTGAATGGCAGAACCCTCTCTTACACCTCCAGCTTCCAGGAGGTGTGGGTGCACGTAGACAGTGTCACTAACATGTGAGCACTTCTCTCTCTGCCAACTCTTTCCAGACACAGTGTGAGTTCCTCTCCCTGTCAAGAACACGCAGGGTGCTCGGTGACACAGGGAAGTGCTCTCACACCTGAGGGCTGGGCAGCTTAGGTGGGGGAGCACTCAGTGCCCCTGCCAGCCCCTTGGCGTGCCAGGTAGCTGTGCTGTCGCCTGTGCTGCTGTAGGATGCAACGTGCTGCCAGGCCTCCACTGGTCAGGAAATTGTTGGTTCAGTAACATGAAGCAGCTGAGCTGTCCTGACACAAGACGGGGAGAGAGTAACCTGAACGGGTTTGCTATGGTGCATGGTATAAAGCTACACCTACTTATAACCTTTTTGTTATTTTGCAATCAACACTTTTGGCAACAATAAGCTCAAAAAATAAAAGTGCATAATTGCATACTGAGTTTGGTTCTCAAGAAAACTGATGATGGACACATAGCCCAAACATCTGCTGACGTCTACTATCCAACACAGGGGCCGTAGTGACACCACTGGCAGTATGAAACCAGAAGAGACAAACCTGCTCAAGCATCAGCTTCAGGTGAGCTGGCATTTTAAGAGGACAGTGCCCAGAAACACGATTTAACAAGCCATAGAAAGACATTTATATGTAGTTTTGTAAACTAGGACTTCACTTATCAAATTGTTTAGCGTAATTTTCCTAATTTTTTATTCCAAATTTTCCTAGACTCAGATGAAAAGTGAAGTAGCTATTAATATGTTAGTTGTATAAATATATTAACAGCTATTAATATGTTAGTTGTATAAACAGTTAAAGAGAAAAACAGTAAAGCAAATTCAAAGAAGAGTTTGAGTTTTTTCCTATCAGAATCATGGAATCAAAGTAAAGATTTTAGAAGATTATTCTGTTGAAGGAGAAATACCTGACATTATTGTGAAAGATTCCGTAAATTCAGTTTAAAAACTCACACTAGAGATAAAAATTATCTTTACAATGATAACATGAATACAAGTTCTGATGGAATAAAGCACCATAATAAAAACAAGATCCCAACACACTGAGAGGCCTGCGGGGCAGGAGCGTCCTTGGAGGGGTGGCAGTGCACACATCCTATTGCCTCCAGCCGCTGACATCTGACCAGCTGGAACACAAGCTGCAGCAGAGTCTGGAGCATTTACAGATACGTAAAGGAACCAAAGTAGAAAACAAACAAAACCTGTGGGGCCTGGCAGCCCTCGTTCTCTCTGCTGCCCCCACCTCTGAATTTACAAACGTTTGAACCTTTGAAGAAGCACTTTGTAAAACAACCCTACGATGGAGCCCCTTTCCATTTTTCTCAAGTCAGATCCCTAAATTTTGGTTACACTTTGTTCAAAATCAGTTGGAAATCTTTAATCAAAGTAGTCAATCTGGAACCCCAAATCTCTAGCTTCCAAGCCTTTGTGAATTACAGTTATTAAAAGTACAGCTTGTAAACAGAAAGACAGTGACGCTGACCTCCACAAAAGCAATGCAAGAAATGAAGCATGAGACCCCGGGAGCCCACGTGGCGTACATAGTTTAATGCTGAAATGCTGTGACTGGATTTGATACTAGTCTGACTTGTGTGAAGTCTTTCAGTGAAGCCCTTATCTTTAATTGGATAAACTGTTATTTTGTAATGGAATGAATAAAACTGACAAGGCCTACAAATTTACAGCATCCAAATTTGTTGTAAATTTAAAAAAAAAAATCACAGACAATTTACTTGACAAGTTTCAGTTTATAAACATATTCGAATACTTCTGTACTCATATCGGCAAAAAAAACAGCACCTATGAAAACATTTAGGCTGAAATGGTTATACACTTCAATAGAAAAAACCTAGACTTGTGAATAGCTTACATTTAGCAGAATTTGCTCTGAGCTTATTAACATTTTCTCAATTAAAAATAGTATAGCCTACAGAGAGAGCCAACCAAAGGTGTCTACAATTTAAAATTCATCAACCATAAGATGCAGCTTTGAAGAAGATTCCTGCCCATTGTTTGGAAAAACGAAATGAAGATCATTTTGAAAAATATATCTTCTTCAGAATAATACCAGGAATGTGGTATTAGGGATGCTAAAATTAAAGTATGTCAATATGCACTGAGAATATAATGACCAAATAATCACCATTAAATTGTTTTAATATCATTTAATGTACCCAGATATTATTTTTTTTTCTAGAAAGAATTTTAGTTTTGCAAATAGCTTCTGAATACTACTACTTCAAATGTCCACCAACATGAGAAAATCAATCTGTTGGTCTGTATGTATTTCAAAAATGACAATTTTAATAATGTTAACACCCCTCTTCACTTCTCAACTGTGCACCAGTTTGGACACTAAGTTATCTGGTCACCTTGGCTCTGGCTGTGGGAGAGGAACACCGCCACCGCCACCGTCAAGGCACACGGCTGGGACACTGAGCCCAGCCTTGCTCCCCGCCCTCTCACCAATCTGCTGGTGCCTTCCGTGCGATAATCCCAGACAGAAGCCAGAGGGCATGGCCAGTCCATACAGGGCAGGTCTGGGGGCAGAGTGGGGTGGACCCTGATCTGGAAAGGCAGCGGAGACTATCCAGTTCTCCAGGATACAGGGCTCTGACCGCAGGACGGGTGTTGGAGGCCTATGACACAACCCAGGGAGGACAAAGCAGGTGTTGGGCAGAGGCTTTCAGAGTAACAATCTGAGGACCTCGGGGATGCTGGCAGAGTCTGGAGCATTTACAGATATGTAAAGGAACAAAAGGAACAGGCCCCTTGAGGGGGTGCACTGGTCACTAAAGAGGCATCCCGGCACAGGGCAGGCCCCTGGACAGACTGTGGCGCTGGGTTCTGGCCCAAGTTGGAGGTCTCAGGAAGAATCCATGGGACTTCGTCTTCATCTCAGAAGTGGGTGCATAGACCAGTTTAATTTGAAAATAAAGAAATAACGCGACTGTGACTCAGGCTGGGAGTGTAGGCCACACTGGATACGCAGGACATACGGGTGCTAAGAGCTGTTCAGTGCTTACCTTGCAAATAAAGAGGAAAGAAGCAGGACTACTGCACACTCAGACTTTAGACCCCACTCGTTAGACCAGTGTTCCTAACCAGGGCCACTCTGTCCCATAAGGGGCCATGTGACAGTGTCCGTAGACTTTCTAGGTTGTCACAACCGGGGGGTGGCTGCTCGCACCTAGTGGGTAGAGGCCAGAGATGGTGCTAAACATCCTACAATTCACAGGGCAGCCCCTACAACAGACAGCGACCCAGCCTCAAATGTCACAGTGCTGAGCACAGGAACACCCACCTAAGGTTGAACATCCAATTCCATTTAGCTGCCTTGGCCAAGATGGTTAAGGGTTCATTGTACATTCATGTGTAAAACAGCTTGAGTCCAGCTTCTGATGTTAAGAAGTCCCACGAGTGTTACTTGTGGGCCTAGATCTCAAATATCTCGTTCACAAAACTGGGCTGATGGCCACCACCGCCTCCGATGTCCAAGACCAAGGGGACCTGGTGATCCCGAGATCCCACCTCCCACCTTCACACTCTTCAGTATTCACAGGCACATGCTTCTCCCCAGCGACACCGCTTCTTCAAACAGCTCTCGCTCACCTCCTGTGCTGCAAGTACATTGTTCACCTCTGGCACCTAATCAAATCAGAACCTCACCAAGGTGACCTGGGAGGTTGGGTTTAGGGCAGAACCTGTGCTTCACCCGGATCCTCCCCCTAGAGCCCTCAGCCTGCTCTGCACTTAGAGAAGCTGAGCTGCGCCCCATCCTAAAGGAATGTCTGTCCACTCCCCCATCCCACCACACCTTGTGAGGTTTCTGCAGAGCAGAGGACACTTGTGTGTGCCTCCCCTTCCTCCCAAGACAGCGAGTTCTACAGAACAGTGCCTGGCCCGAAGTGAGGCACTCTAACATCTGTTGAATGAGTATAGAGAAGGAAACAGTATATTCTGACTCTCCCTCAAGTAAATTAAAAATTTAGCTTAATTCTTCCTTTCTAACCCTCCCATCAGAGGTTAGCAGGCAGCCTGCAGCCTGTGTTTGTAGATATGTAGTCTAATGGGGACTCAGCCATGCCCTTTCGCTCAGGCACCCTCTATGGCTGCCTCACTCTACCCTGTCCCAGACACCACGTGGCCCACAAGCTTTGCTATCTGGCCCTTTTCAGAAGAGGTCTGCTGATCTTGGTTTTAGATTTCCATTTTAACTCTTTTCACACTGTATTTTCTCTCTCAAGAATGCTCTTTCTGCTCTCATGGTCATGTTCTGTGATAGTACTAACAGCAGCTGTTCTGACATTGCTGTGCATGACTCTCAGCTGAGAGGACCTGACTGTGCTAGGAAATCCCTCCACCTGCACTTCAGGCACCAGTCCTCAGGGGAACTTTCTCTTCTCTCCCTCCCAGCAATATCCACAGCAGAACTGTGTCCCAGTGTGGGAGTGACTGCCTGTTGGCATGGTTACAGGGACCCAGGGGTTGCTTTTGGAGCTGAGCAATTGCAGGATCAAGTTTTTCAGAGTTGAAAGTTTCTCTGACAGAAGAGAGATTTTAAAATCACAGAGAGCCACCTATCAATGTTATTTTGGAGATTCCCAAGGTTGGCAATCAAGGTCAAAGCCCCAGTTTTCACCACCAAGAAAAGCAGAACAGCAAGGTGCTTGGTGGACTGGGCTAATTGCCTTCCTGTACCTGGGCTGCTTGGTCGCCAAGGTGGCAGACAGTTCCTGCTTCTAGTCCTCTCTCAACATGTGGCCCAGCAGGCTGTGCGGCTAGAATTCAGCTCAGAAAGCAACTCCCTAGGCAGCTTTTCCAATTCCTTCCTGACTACAAAGCATGTACAGGTCTGTTTCTCTGGGGAGGAAGAGCAAGGTCTCACATCCTGGTCTCTCACTGCCTCGCTCCCTACCCATCACTGTAGACTGCAAGCACACAATAAACAGGTATGGACCAAAAACCAATAAATGGCACTGACAACTTCTTTAGCCATAAAAACAAAATCTTACATCAACTGGAAACAAATTTAATTAAATGGCTGTATACTTTTGGAAAGATACAAGGTTAACCCCAAGTCCTATTTTAAAGCATTTGAAGTACTTTAAGAACAATACCTCTGTATACCTGCACATTCGCCCAACACTACAGAGCCTCTACTTTGGAGCCAGCACCTGGAGAAGACGTTCTGGCCCCAATGCCTTCTCAATAAGCATGCCCAAATCTGACCTTGAATGGTGCATGCGACCATCTCAGACCTACTCATACAAAATGAAAAACACACAGAACCTAAACTAAATGTGAAATAGAAACCTGTCTAGCTTACCTTCACAAACGTTCTCCAGAGAGAAGTATGTGGTCTGACTGATGTAGCCAGCCCCTTCCATCAAGGAAGTCACGCAGCCAATCAGCACTCGGGGACTGGAGCCTGCCGGCCCTTGGCTGAGGTTTCTGCTGTCATCTTCCCATTTATCAGAGACAGCTTCCACCTGCAAGACAGAAAGACCGCTGTTTGAACCAGAAGAGGACAAGAAAAGCAAACTACACGTCAGTATCCCTTATGAATAGAGATGTAAAAATCCTCAACAAAATTCTAGCAAACTGAGTTCAGCAGCATATTAAAAGGATTATACACCATGACCAAGAGGGGTTTATCTCAGAATGCAAAGGTGGTTCAACATACGAAAATCAATCACTATAACACACCACACTGGTAGAAGGAAGGAAAAAACACATGACCATCTCAATTGACACAGAAATTGCGTCTGACAAAACTCAACACCCTTTCATGACAGCAGTGCTCAATAAACTAGGACTAGAAGGGAACCTCCTCACCATGACAAAGGCCATGTATGAAAGACCCACAGCTGACATCACAGTGTGAAAGACAAAGCTTCTCCCCTAAGACCAGTAACAAGGTAAAGATGCCTGCTTTCACCACTTCTTTCAAAATAGTACTGGAAATCCCAGCCAGAGCAATTAGGCAAGAAAAGGAAATAAAAGGCAACCAAACTGGAAAGGAAGTAGAATGACCTCTGTCTGCAGATGGCACGATCTTATATGTACAAACCACTAAATAGTCCACAAAAAACTGCTACAGCTAATAAAGGAGTTCAAGTTGCAACATACAAATCAACATGCAAATATCAGTTGTATTTTTATACATTTGCAATGAACAACCCAAAAAGGAAATTCTGAAAACAATTCCACTTACCATAGCATCAAAAAGAATGAACTACTTAGGAATAAATTTAACCAACGAAGTAGAAGGCTTGTACACTGAAACCTACAAAATGTGGCTGAAAGAAGTTAAAGAAGACCCAAATAAATGGAAAGACATCTCTGTTCACGACCTGGAATACTTAATACTGTTAAGATATCAATACTGCCCAAAGTGATTTAAAGATTCAACGCAATCTCTATCAAAACTCCAGTGATGTTTTGGAAAAATTATACTTCTTGATTTCAAAACTTACTACAAAGCTCCAGTAATCAATAGTGTGGGACTGGCATAGAGACAGACACAAGACCAATGGGACAGAATAGAGAGCCCAGAAACAAACCCTCATACATATGGTCAATTGATTTTCAACAAAGGTGCCATGATCATTCAATGGGGACAGGGTTTTCCCCATTGTGCAACCTTCTCAAAAAATGGTGGTGGGAAAACTGGATGTCAACATGAAAAAGAATGAAGTCAAACACTTACCAACACCATATTCAAAAAATTAACTCAAAATGGATCAAAGAATTAAATTTAAGAACTAAAACTATAAAACTCTTAGAAAAAACCACAGGTGAAAATCTTCATGATCTTAGTCAATGATTTTTTAAGTATAACATTAAAAGCACAGGTAATAAAAAAAAAAGGATAGACTGGACTTTATCAAAATTTAAAACTTCTGTGCATCAAAGGATAGTACCAAGAAAAAAAAAAAGGCAATCCACAGAATGCAAGGAAAATATCTGTAAATCATATATCTGAAAAGGGATTACTATCCAGAATATATAAAGAACTCCTACAGCTCAACAGAAAAATAAATCACCCAATTAAAAAATGAGCAAAGGACTTGAACAGACATTTCTCCAGAGAATATATATGAACGACCAATAAACACATGAAAAGATGCTCAACTTCGTTAATTATTAGGGAAATGCAAATCAAAACCACAATAAGACATCACTTCACATCCACTAGGATGGCTACTGTCAATAAAATGGAAAACAACTCATGTTGTGGGGATACAGAGAAATTGGAATCCTTGTGCATTGCTGGTGAGAATGTAAAATGGTGTAGCCACCATGGAAAAATCTCGCAGCTCCTCAAAAAGCTCAACACAGAATTACCACACGACCCTCCAATTCCACTCCAAAGTATATACCCAAAAGAACTGGAAACAGGGACTCAAAAAGATACTTGTTTAGGACAGCATTATTCACAACAGCCAAAAGGTAGAAACAACTTAAGTGTCCATCCACAAATAAGTGGAGAAACAAAATGTGGTAAATACATATAACAGAATATTATTCAGCCATAAAAAGGAATGAAGTTCTGATTCATGTTACTTGGATGAACCTTGAAAATATTATGCTAAGTCCAATAAGCAAGACATGAAAGGACAAATACTGTGTAATTCCATTTATATGAGGCACCTAGAGTAGTCCAATCCACAGGGACAGAAAGTAGGACAGTGAGTTACTGTTTAACATGCATAGAGCTTGTACTTAGGATGATGAAAAAGTTTTGAAAATAGATAGTGGTGATGGGTGCACAATAATGTGAATGTAGTTAATGCCAGTGAATTGTACACACAAAAATGGTTTAAATGCTAAATTTCATGTTATGCATATTTTACCACAATAAAAATAAATAAATAAAAAATAAGCAAAGAAATCCAGAGGGCAGTGTAAGCGAGCCAAGTGTATCTCTCTCATGATGGAAGTCAGTAAATGCCATCTAATCTACGCACCTCAAGCAGCGAGTGGGCATACTGCTCAAGAGATTCAAGCATCTACCAGAAGAGCTAAAAGCAGAAACCAAGGAATGCATGAGGCCTGAGGAATGCAGGTGCAGGGGGGAGTGTGGAGAGAGCCTACCTTTCATTCTGCAGCATTCCAGGCCACAGCAATCTAATAGGACTTTCCGCGACAACATAAATATTTTATCTTTGTGCTGCCAAGTTTGGTAGCCACTAGCTACATTTAGTATTTGACATGTGGTTAGTGAAACTGAGGAATTAATTTTAAGCCTTATTTACTTTAAATAAATTTAAATAGCCACACATGCTGGTAGCTACAATACTGAACAATGCAATTCTAGAATTTGGTTTTTATTTGTATCATTTTTAAAATTTGACAAAGATGATATTATGCATTAAGACGATATTACTAACTGTCATAGTAATAAAGTACATCTCGACCATTTAAAAAGTAGTTGAGCTCAATAAGTTTGCAAGCTACCAAATTACATAACAAAAATCAACAGTTTTCTTATATAAAAAGAAAAATATTCATTTGAAAATACAAAGTAAATTTATGTTGATAACGGAACAAAAACATTAAAATTCTTGGAAATAAATTTAGCAAGAAATTTGCAGAATAGAAATGAAAACTATTGCACTGTGGAAAGAACACAAACGAAGGCTTAAATAACGGACAGACAGAATTTGTGGTTGGAGGAAACTTGCTATGATCCACACGTCACTTAGCCTAAATGCATCTACAGACTCAGTGCCATCCAAAGCGAGTCTGAGCTGGGGAGAGAAACAACAGAATGACTCTAAGTTTCATCCAGAAGGAGCAGAGAGCCTGGAGAATTCCATCAACAAGAAGAGTGGGAGGAAAACGTGCCTACCACCACCGACACAACTGTGCCACCAAGGCCCACATACAGGTATCAGGACCCACGGGGTCCAGACGGGTCCCATGCCCGTGGGGTTCCGGACCTTCCCATCAGTAGAAAGAAAGAGGATTTTTCAGCAGGACGACTGGCTAGCTCCTGGAAAGAAATGTCTGCTTCCTTCTTTGAGTCTGTATACCAAATAAATTCCAGGCAGATTAACGACTTAAATCTCAATAAGCAATTTTCAGAGGAAAACCTGAGTGCATATTTGTAATAACAAGTAGAATAAAACCTCTCCAAGGATTCTTATGGAACCCAAAAGCCACATGGAAAAGACAGACACATTTAACCACATAAAATAAAACTTCATAAAAAAAAGTCAAAAGATAATCTTGGGGAAATATCTGTAACACTTCCAAATAATAACGTTCCTTAAAAAGCTGTAATTTCTCCAACAGAGAAAGCTTAATTTTAAAAATTGAACCAAAACAACAAAAAATGAAGGAAACAAAAATAATTCATAGAAGAAATGTGAAAAATTAATCTACTTTAAGGCTTACGTGCAAATTAAAATTATGACATCACTTTTCACTTATTAGACTGAAAAGATTTCAAAGATTGATAATAGCCATGTCCTTGCCAACACTGGGTAACAGGCAGTCTCATCCTGCTCCTAGGAGTATGAACCAGTACAATACTGCTGGAGAATAATTTGATGATAACCATTAAAATGTTAATGTGCATACACTTTGACTAATAATTCTACTTTCAAGAATTTATAAATAAGAGAGTCCAGTAATTGTTAATTGGATCAAAAAGGGTCCAATAATAATCATTTTTAACTATTTTTTTAAAGATTAGAAGAACAGATACAGAAATGACAACCGTGTTCTTTTCCATGGCATAAAATTACAGGCAAGCTTTACTTCATGAATTATAAATTTCTATGTTGTTTGAATGGTTTACAAGGACCACCACAGATGTTTTAAACCAGGAACCTTTAAAAGAACAAAAGTACCCCTGTGGAGGAACATTCCACTCTCTCTCCCCAGGTTATCCTTGAGAGATTAACTAAATAGGACCACAGCAGTGGGATGCCCGAGGTGAAGAGACTTCCCAAACGAGTTCGGGCCTTACCCTGATGGCTTTCAGTCCATTCGACACGTGATTTTCTTCCACAACTGCAATAACTTCCTGTCCAACATTCAGAAGCACGTTGCTAGTCACAGCCTCACTGGAGAAGTAGATCAGATCATCGATCATCCCATAATCGCTGCAGTACCTTGTGACAACGCCCTGGACGGTTTTCAACTTGCTGTCACCTGGTGGGTAAACAAAGGCGATACTGACCACTAAAGCAAGCCCACGCCACAACTAAGCCCCACCAGAGAGAAGTCGACCACAGGAGCAGCCACGCGGCTAGGAGCCCTGCGGGCTGGAGAACCCGCAGGGGAGTGGAGCGCTCAGGAGGCAGGGCTTGTGAGGCAGACCGCCCAGGCTCCCGTAAGGCGCAGCGGTGGTGGGCTCGGTGGGGGGCCCTCTGACTCCAAAGCCAGACTGCCTGGTGTGAATTCCAGCTCCTGGACTGCCGCGGGTGTAACCCTGAGCCAGGTCCCAACCCCTGCGCCTGTTCTCGTCTGTGAAACGGGGACGTTACAGCCCGAGGAGGGAGCTGTCCCAGGGCTCCGGGACGGAACACGCGCCCTCGCAGACCGGCGCGGCGTTCCACACTGTCCTCTCTCATCTTCGACGCACGGCAGCGCTGTCAGCAAGTTCCGCGTCATCTCCCCAGACGAGGCACTGGAGCAGATTCCGGGCGGGGCACAGGGCGCGTCCTCAGCCCTCCGCGACGCTCCGCGCTCCCGGCCGGGACCCCTGCTCCAGCCAGATTCTCTGGGCGCTCTCCGCACCTCGTCCGCTGCGGGAAACGGGGCTGCCAGGTCCCGGCGCAGCCCGGAGCGCACTCCGCGCGGCTGGAGCTCGGGCCGTGCTTTACACGGGACAGGGGAAGGGACGCGCTCCCTACAAAGTGGGCTACGCGGGCATCGCCGCCTGCGCACACGGACGGCCCTCCACGGGGAGCCCCGCTGCCCACGCCCCGGCTTCCCGCGCGGAGCTCCCCTCTTCTGAGGCGACGGTCAGGGCTGCGGCCCACGCTCGCGCGACAGGGGAATCGGGGAAGGCGACCGCGTGGCCGGAAAGCACGGACCGCGGAGCGCGGCCGCAGACGTGCCGGGACGGAGGGCGCGCTCCACCTGGCTCGAGGGGCCGTCGGAGCCGGAGGGCTGCGCTTCTCCCGTCGCCCAAGTCCCCACTGCGTCCGCGGCCGAGGCAGACGAGAGCGCCGCGCGCAGACGCCCCCACCCGCAGCCAGCCCGCGCGGACAGGGAGGCCCAGCGGCCGCGGGGGTCGCAGGGTCGCGGCTTCCGTCTGGGGCCGGAGACCAAGCCCACGACGGCGCCGGCGCCTGCCCCGCCTCCACGGACGGCCCGGCCGTCCCGCCCCCCGGCCTCCCGGCAGCACGGCCCCAGCTCCCCGCAAGTCCCGCAGCAGCGCGCGGGGACCCGCCCGCCCCACGAGGCACCTTCCGCGAGGTCGGGCCCCGGCGGCCCCGCCTCCTCCCTCGGGCCGTCCGCCTTCCTCCAAAAGAAGGCCACCAAGTTGGCCGCGAGGCGCAGCATGGCGGCCGCCGCGTACTAAGCACCGCCGCGCCGCTCCCGCCGCCCTCGGCCAATGGGTCGTCGCGCCCCCGCCTGCGCCCGCGCGCCGTCGAGCCCGGCCAATGGGGTTGCTGCGCCCCGTCGATCTCGGCCAATGAGGTCGCCGCGCCCGCGCCTGCGCCCGTGCTTGCTCCCCGTCAGCTCAGCCAATGGGTCGTCGCGGTCGTCGCGTCCGCGCCCGGTGGAAGTCGCCAGGGACCGTTAGCAGTCAGTGGTTGGCAGTTGGCGACCGTTAGCGCACCAGCAAGCGAGGCAAAGTCATGCCTGGCGCGCGTGGCCTCGTGGTGGTGGGCGGAGCTCGGTGGGGACGGACAGCCTCTCGTAGTCCCCGTCGTAGGGCGAGGACTCGGGGCTGTCAGGTGGCTTTGGTGGATGTTCTTGATCAAGTTGAGGAAGTTCCCGCTTGTCCTGTTTTTCGCAGTTATCAGGCATGGGTGTGGAATTTTCTCGAAGGCTTTTCTGCATCTATTGAAACGATCGCGTGGTTTTTCTCTTTAAGCCTGATAATAGGGGTGCATTGTGTTGATCGCTTTTTATGGCAAACCACCCTTGCTTTCCTGGGAATCTCACTTGGTCTAGATTTGTTATCCTTTTTGTGTCTCGCTTGATCCAACTTGGTGACGTTTGGACAAGGGTCGGGATCGTTGCTCCTGAGGGATATTTGGTCCTTGTAATTTTCTCTCCTTTTTTGGATTGTCTGGTTTAGGTATCAGTCTAAACCTGGCCTCCTGAAATGAGAACGTTCCTTCCTCCTCTGTCAGAAAGACTGTAGGATCGACGTGACTTGTTCTTTATATGTTTGGTCAAATTCACCAGTGAACTCACTTGGGCCTGGAGTTTTCTTTGTGGCAAGATTTTAAATTACAAGGTCCACTTCTGCATCAGGTTTGGGGCTTTGCAAGTTACCAATGTAGCACTGAGTAAACTTCGGTAATTTCTGTCTTTTAAGGGATTTGTCCATTTCACCCCAGGTGTCATATTGTTGGCATAAAATTGTTCATAGTATTTCCTTACTATCCTTTTAATGTCTGTGTGATCCATAGCGATGAATCGTCTTTCACTCCTGATATTGATAATTTATGCCTTCCCTTTTGTTTTTCTTCATCAGTCTAGCTAAAGATTTATCAATTTTATTGATGTTTTCAAAAAACCACCTCTTGGTTTCATTGAGTTTTCTCTATTCATTATTTTCTTGTACCCTTTTTTGGGTTTGATTTGTGCTTTTCTAACTTTCTAAGACAGGAAGTTGGATGATGAATTTTAGAACTTTCATTATGTTTAATATAAATATTTAAAGCTATAGATTTCTCAAAGCTCTGATTTAGCTACATCCTATAAAATTTGACTTGTATTTTCATTTCATTTGATTTCTGATTCCTTTTGTGATTTCTTCTTTGACTCACACCATTTTTTTTAAAGAGGTCTACTGTTTAATTTCCACATATTTGGGGATTATCTGGATATTTTTCTGTTAATGAATTCCAATTTAATTTTGTTGTGGTCAGAGAATAAAATCTGGATGAGTTCAGTCTGTTAAAATTTATTTAGATTTTCCTCCCTACATATGGTCTCTTTTCATGGATGGTCCCCATGTGGCTGGAAACAATGGGTATCCTACTGTTGTTGGCTGGGGCCGAATGCGATTTTGACCAGTGTGCTTTTGTTTCGATGGGTTGGGTCTGTCAGTCTAATTGACAGCCTGTACCTCACCTGTCCCTAGATGCACAGGATATCTATCATTCCTTCTTGAGAGTTAGGGGAGACACTCATTCCCTAAATATTCATCACTTCCTCATCTGGCGCTCATTGTTGGGAATGGGAACGGTCCCAGGGATTTGTTGGGTAGGTGGGAAGAGAGGTCCTCAGAAACAAGAGCATGTGACGCAGCGGCTGGGAGCCTCGGCCAGGCGTCCTGTCAGGGGCGCAGAGGAAAGGCGCCTGGGGCGGGAGGGATTTGCCGTGGGAGTTTCCACTCATAGGACCATCCCTATATCCGTCAGCCTGAACCTCTCCCCTGGCTTCTGGACTCTTCAACTCAGCTTTTCACAGATCTACTTGGACATCCTGAAGGCATCTTCACACCATCATTGAGGTGGGCCTCCCGGCGCTCCCTCTGCACCGCGTCACCCCAGTCTTCTCCATCTCTGAGAGGTGGTCCACCCTTCTTGTCACCTGAAGTGCTGGCCCTCTCACCTCACTCTGACTGCAGATCATGGTGGTTCTTCCAAATCTATCCAGAATCCAGCCACTTCTCACTGGCTTCACGGTCCCACCTCATTCCCAGCCAGCACCTGCTCTCACCTGCTGCCCCTCAGCCTGTCCACCCAGCGGCCAGTTGCTTCTCTGCCCAGAAGCCTCCAGCGGGTCCATCTCAGAGTCAAAGCTGAGGTTGTCTTAACACCCACAGGTGCCCCATATCTGGATGCCTCACCTGCTCCTTAACCCCATGCCCCTCACCCTCCAGCCTGGCCATCTCGAGCTCTTTGCACCTGCAGCACCTCTGATCCAGCTCTCTGTGAGACCCCCCTCCTCACCTTGTGCACGTATTTACCCAGACGCTTCCTTCTCAGTGAGGCCTGCCATGACCCCCCAGCAGCAGCCCCATTTCCCTCCCTATTTTCCATCGTAGAGAAAGTCAAGTGCGTCATCATAGAGCACACTAGTGTATTTATCGTATGGGCTCCTGTGCCCCCATTAGAATGTAAACTCCATGTGGGAAGGACCGTGGCTGGCGCAGTTCACTCTGTAAACGTCTGCTCAATGGCGAGTTATGTTGAAGCGTGGGTGGGGCCTTGGCAGGCGGGAAAGGGAGTAAGGCATTTTGGGAACAAGGGTTTGTTTGAAGGTGGTCTGAAAGAACAGGACTTGTTCTGGAAACTAGTGTTGCCAACAGAAACCAGGAAGCACATCTCAGCGACTATGTAGGACTCTGGGGACTCGAGGAGTTTGTGCACAGTCTGACTCAAGGCAGCTTGTTTGTATTCCTTAGAAAAGAACAACTTCTGAAAGGCACAGAATCATGAAGTCTACTTAACATTTTTCTTCAAACAAAAAGAAACACGAAGTGTCCAATCCTGTCGGACCAGTTCCTACTATTTCTGTTTGTCACTTTAAAAGATAGTCAATAAAGAAGTTTGGGAGGTTTTTCAATCTGTTCAAAATCCCCTTTTCACTTCACAGGGTATAGTTTGTGAAAATTAATTCTGATCCTTCTTGCTTGGTTGAAACACTAAGACGACAGAGCATCCCATGATTCAAAACCAGTGCTCTTCTCAAGTTTTATGTGGGTTCATGGTCTCAGGAGCTGGTTTTTCAGAATGTTTTGTTTTGAGCCATTTTACAGTTCTCGTTTGCACAAAGAATCTGTCACTGTAACCGTTGTGGCGCCAGTGTCTCTGGGTGAAGAACATTCCCGTCCTTTTTCTTTGCTCAGTGAGCAGAAATAAAGGGTGCAGTGGGACACAGGGGCCTGCAGGAATCGCTGGGTCAGAATGCCAAGCCGTTCGAGGGCCATGCCAGCCAAGTTGGGGCGCAAGTGTGTATGTGACCTCGTGAAGGAGGTCTTCCTCGTATGATCGCGGGGGATGGAGACAGGCTGCTTGAAAGGATGTATAATGAGGCCTTTGAGTGCAGTTATTTGTCTCCTAAACAGAGCACGTGGTGCTCTGGCCCACTGGGATTCTGTGCTTGGTAGAATTCTCTTAGGTACACTTCTTTCTTCCGTGATGCCCGCCCTAGTGCCCATGACCTCACTGCCAGGAGTGGAACTGAGGAGGCCCCTTCGTCCCTAGTGGAGTTAAGACTGAGCAATGCTCTGAGCCAGCAGTTACACAACCACCACAGAACTTTCCAGGGCCCCCAGCTTCATCTCCTCATTGAAATTCAGGCAGTGGTTCTCCTCCCCTGGCGTAAATGCAGTTTTGCTGGGCTTTTGTTCGTCTGTGAATAGTTCTTGCTGGAAGCCCACGGCAGGATGACTCAGTAGCGGGGAGCCCCTCACCCAGAGACGGTGCTCCCATCGCAGAAACAACCAGAAGGTAAGCACACAGACGTTAAACCATTAAGTGGGTGCGTATTTTACCATCTCTTGTTTAGTTTCCACCTTGAGCAATTTAACACGCTCTGAGTAACCAGCACGTCCCGGGACTCATAAATGGAGCTGCTAATGGAAGGGAGAGCTGGAATGTACTGGAGGACCTGGATCAACGAGACACTTAAAGCCTCAGATCCCGCCCTGAATCCAGACTCCTCAGGTCACTGAGAGAGTGATTGTACGCACTTGTAGAATTAAGTGCTTATTTTCTTCTTCCAATTTACAGCACTTCTGTATGAACAATATTTCTTTTATTGAAAACAAGTTAAAAACAAGTGTTTATTGAAAACAACTCATTTTAATTAGAGTTTTTTCAGAATGATCAAAAATAAATGATGATTTTATTACAGACAACAGAGGAAAGCAGAGGAGACTGCGGGCTCCAAGCACAGCTGTCGGGTGGGCACTATCAGTGTCTGTCCCTAGCACCATGACGCGGGAGGAACAGTGCAGGGAGGAGCTCAGCTACGACCGGCTGCCCACCCTGGATCGGGGAAGGCCAGACGTGGGAAGCCGCACCCCAGACACCAAGCCCGGTGCCCTGCCGCTGTCATCAAGGCTGCCCTCTTGCTTCAGCCACAGAACATGGGTCTTCTCTGCGTTGATGGGGGTGAGTGGCTCCACGCCAGGACCGTGGAGGCTTCACCCCCCTCCCCCACCCCATCCTCTATGAGGTGTCCCCGGACCTGGGTGTCCTTCCTAGGTGGCATGGGAAAGAGCAGCTCCCGGTTACTCCTGCTTCTGGAGAGCCTTGTGGGCGCCCATGTGCTTATTTTGCTTGTGTTCTCTGAATTATTTTCCTGAATTCACGGGCATCTATTGCACTAGTGCCATGGCCTCCAGGCTGTGGCTGCCCTGTGTCCCAGCAGGGTTGGGACAACCCAGGGCCTGCGCTGACCGTCTGCTGGGTCATGCATCACTCCAGGGCGGCTTCCAGGACCCTCGACTCCTCGGGGTGTCTGGAGTCGGCCTGCAGAGAGGGGAGGAGGGCTGCGCTCTCAGGG